CTGTAGGAGCTATAAAAATCGCGAGAAGAAGGAAGTGTTCAGTCAATTTCTTTGATACCGCCCTGCTCTGAGTGGTGTTAGACTTCGAAAGGAAAGCTCGTAAAAGGACGAGTCTGCAAGGATTAGTAATCAGCAAAGTTTGGCTTGAGAATAGTTCGCATTCTGATTAAAGTGAAAATGATGTCCTTTTCTCGGTATCCACTCCAATTAATCCTAACCTACTTATGTATATACATCTCAAAAGCTGTGGACATATCATAGATCAACATAGTATAATGCCGATGATAAAACAAAAACTGAAATAATTGATAGCCACTGCACACAAATTAGTGCTTTAATTCGAACCAGAAAGATACATAAAGCTGATCGCCGCTGTGAAGGCGTTTGGAATGCGAAATTTTCTATTTATAATCCTGTTTATATATTTTTCAATATATTCCAATTGGTATCAGTATTCGATACTATTACCATTATTTTACTCTGCGTACATACATACTTACACGTATGATGTACTGCTATTGTAGTAAACGCTTGGATCTGTATTGTTTCCTTTTCCGAAAATAAATAATTTATCGCACATCGAAAAGAAAATATATGTACATAATTTAGACGTTGAATAATAATAGCAGAATCAACTATTTATTTCAATATATAAAGTTTCAGTTCGAAAAAAAAAATGATTAAATAAATTTCATTAAAAATTCGCAACGCGATGCATTAAGGTCACTTCTCGATTTATGCGAACCAAAACCGAAAATTAAGCAGACGGATTTTTTTCCTAAATAATTGTTAACCAAAAAAGGATGTTTTTTAGGGAAGATTCTATGAAACAAATAACATTAATTCTGTTGAATTTATTAAAAAGCGTGCCAGCATTTTTGAAATCATATACTAATTTCATGTTAAAAACAAAAGTTCAAAGTAAAGCCAAACACGCCTGCATAGAATTTTTAATATTTTAACCAAAAAATATTTAATTCAATTTGAAAATTAGTTAAATAGAATTCATAAGTTAAAATTAGAAAGAACTCGCCGCACACAATACCGTCAGCCGGTAGTCAAAATGTGTAGTACGAGTAGAAAAATAAAAAAGTAGTGACATGAAAAGGCGTGAAAAAGTCACTTTTATTGCTTTGGCGCATTATTTTTAGCGACACACACACACATAAACATAACATTGTACAACTTTTCGGTTGTTTAAAAATGCAATTGGCGTACGATGTTGAAACGAAAAAGCGTAATCCGGTAAGAAAAATACTAGATGGATATGCTGGGAATTCCTAAAATTAAAAACAAAACCAACAAAACCAACAAAATCTTAACATAATGACTACCGCTTAAAGCACTCATTGCACTCAAACAATGTGGATACCTTCTATATATATCTTCTAATATGAATAATGGAAATTTTCAATCACCACCTGCTCTGACCTTGACCAAGTTCAATTACCCAAAAAAAATTTAAAACGCTATAATAGTAATTTTTCGCAAATTTTATAACTTCAGGTGAATATATTTAAAAGTAAAATTAAAACTTAGCTTTAATTACAAAAACAAATGAAAATAAAATCAAAAAATTAATAAAAAAAAATATATTTAATAACATTTACTTTCTTGTAATTAAATTAAATTAAACTATATTAAATCACAAATATTAAATAAAAAGTAAAATAAAATAAAATAGAGCGATATTAAATTTAATTATATTGAAATAAAAGCAAATAAACCAAATTAAATTAAATTAAATAAATATATTAAAATGAAATTAAATAAAATCAAACAAAAATTTAAGTTCAAAATAATAGAACAAAATTAAATTCAATAAATGAAACAAAATAAAGAAGTGAAATAAAACAAATTAAACTAAAATAAAATAGAAAAGGAAAAATAAAATAAGTAAAAATAAAATAATATGAACTAAATTAAAATAAAATAAATAAAACTAAGCTAAAATTAAATTAAATTAAATCAAAGCAAAATAAAATAAAAGAATAATAAATTAAAAAGTAAAATAAAAAATAAATTAAAACGAAAAAATAAAAATAAAATAATTAAAAATAAATAAACAAGTAAAATGAAATAAAAATTTAATTTAAACAACTTAAGTAAAATAAAATAAAAAAATAATAAATTAAAAAGTAAAATAAAACATAAACGAAAAAATAAAAATAAAATAATTGAAAATAAATAAAAAAGTAAAATGAAATGAAAAATTAATTAAAAAACTAAATTAAAATAAAATAAAAGAATAATAAATTAAAAAGTAAAATAAAACATAAATTAAAAAGAAAAAATAAAAATAAAATAATTGAAAATAAATAAAATAATAAAATAAAATAAAAATTTAATTATAAAACATAAGCAAAATAAAATAAAAAAATAATAAATTAAAAAGGAAAATAAAAAATAAATTGACGTGAAAAAACAAAAAAAAAATAATTTAAAATAAATAAAAAAGTAAAATGAAATGAAAATTTAATTAAAAAACCAAATTAAAATAAAATAATAAATTAAAAATTAAAATAAAACATAAATTAAAACGAAAAAATAAAAATAAAATAATTGAATATAAATAAAAAAATAAAATGAAATAAAAATTTAATTAAACAACTTAAGTAAAATAAAATAAATTAAAATAAAATTAAATTAAATAAAGTAAAATTAAATTGAACAACTTTATAAGGTATTTTAGAGTTTAAAACTCTGCCAACAAACTTTTTGCATATTTCCTGCTATTTTTCGGCCTCAAATCTATGCGCATTGTCAAACTGCTTATATTTTTATATCTCTGCTATACCTTCTTATCTTTTATCTTTATGGACATGTTTGTAATTCAAAGTTTCAAATTAATTTACCTTCAGGTACCGTTTAGTGGAAAAGTTCAAAAGAACATTATTCTGTTTTATTTTTATTTTAATTTTTTTTTCAAAAACTGTGTTCCCGTTTTCGTAATAAATACTAAACAGTTAAATGAGTTCATTTGTCTTTCCGCCAAACATTTTGCATTCTATGTATGTTTCTAGCCAAAAAAATGTGCCAACAAATGTTCATTAAATTGTCAATCAATCAAATTCTATCAGCTTCATCATCTAGATTCTTAGATTATTTCGGCAACTTTGTTTGTTTACATTTAAACAAAAATTCTGCGAGATTTATTTCCATCAAAGGTGAATGGCATTTAATAAAAGAATAATTAAGAAGTGCTTAGAAATAATTACTTTGTTGACAAAACATATTTTAATTTATGTAGAAAATAGTATTTTATGTCGGCCGCGGTAGGCGAGTGGATAGCATAGCGGAAGACCTGGATTCAAATCCTGGTACGAACAACATAGCGGTCTCCCCCCGGCAGGGAATTTCCACTCCTCCGAGCGTATTTCGGACATGAAATAAAGGCATCAAGATGCAACACCACAAATTGGAGGAGGAGCTCAGCCGAAAATCGCTTCAGCGCTTACAAAGCCCCAAATCTTTATATGTATATATAGTATTTTGTGGTATTTTATGTTAAATAATTCGGAAATTTTGTAGCTTTTGACAATTTGTAGGAGGGTGTTTCCATTCTAACCTCAATAAGTGGCACAGAAAAAAGCAAAAACAAAAATATCTTCCAAAACTGTTGATTTGCCATTTTAAGTTCAATGAACTTTATTAATTAAAAATACTAGTCTGTTTTTTCACTGGAAAATCTACATATTTATCAACACGAAAATCATAACTGTCAAATAATTCTTTAATAAATCACCGTAAAACTTAAATCAGATAACCTAAAAGTATGCTTCAATCTAAACTTAGCCCAACGTACAAGTAATGTGTGAAATGAGTCACATCTTCCCTGTACAATACATTGTGTACGTATGTAAGTATATATGTATGTAGATACGAGCCTCCACAGTGACTTAAAAGTTAATTAGATGAGAACTCATGCATTATTCAGTAAGCAAAAATTAATTTTTTATTATTGTTTTTTTTTTTATACAAAAAACTTGTAAGCCCTTTTGTGCTTATTTAACATACATATGTACATATGTATATGCTTAGAGAGCCACAAAAATTTATTTACGGATATTAAATTTGTAAACACGCTCGGAATACAACTAATTTTTTTTTTTTAATATTTGCATATTATGACAGTTTTTTGGAATTTCCAAAGAAATTAATTTGGTAATCAGTTTGAGTATTTGATGAATCTGTTAAGATTTCGTGGTTAGGTTTTGAGTGTACAGAAATCAAAATAAAAATTAAAAAAAGAAATGAAGCATAAAAATTATTAAAAAATCTAGTCAGCAATATTGAACATAAGGAAAAATAAAAATTTGTAAAATCGTAGAATTAAGAAATAAAAATTAATAAAAAGTGCGTAATTCGATTTTCTTCTTTTTTGAAATATCATTTCACTTGACCGATTTTTTTTGCGAATTTGTAGAAATCAAATTAACAAAGCTCAGCGCAATACAGCAAAGTGAGTATTTGTTGGTGTCTTCCAATAAAAATGCAAAAAATTTAACGAAATGCTTAATAGCGCAGCCGTAACGCCAAAAACCCCGAAGTCAGGCGACGAACGATAATGGGATGAGTAGCCGAAAGCGCTCGTATACAAATATAATCACTATATCTGCTCGTGTGTGTGTGTGTGTGTGTAAACGTTAGCGACAACTGAAAGCCGGTAATAGTAAATGGGGCGGTGAGCGGGCGAGACCACGAACAACGCGTTACGAGGCTACGAGAACATTGCCTGCATGCTAAATAGTCCTCGCCAGCAGCGGAATATAAACGTAATTTGCAAACTGTATACACGCACATACTCGCACATACGTATACAAGCACTATGATAAAGTAAAAATAATAAAATCTACGAAAAATCCTAAAAAAATAGCAACAAAACAACAACAACACCTGCTCGGCTACAAACAAATCGCGTGAGATTTCATTTGTTTTTTTTTTTTTGCTCATTTTTGATTCTCGTCCACTGTCCAGCTATCCGTATGTCCGTCCGTCCGTCCGGCCGTCCGTTCCAATACCAATAAACGAACGGCTGCTTATTAGCAATCTCGTATATTCCGCAAACGTCCGCTTTTTCGTATATAAATCTAATGTGAATCGTTGGTAAGACATCACTTCTTTGGTGGAAACTTAACTGCTAAGTTTAGCTCCAGTCTCTCGCGTCTCTTACGAGTGAAGTGAACATCAAGTCGATAAATCAAAATCAATTCAAAACTAAATATTTTTTTAAGGATAAAAGTCATTGTGCTTGTATTCGTGTGTGCTTTATTTTGAAAATATCAACGACAACAACAACAAAAAAGTGTTCAAAATGAAATTCAACGCTTCCTTTGCATTAATTGTGATCTGCGGTTTGGTGGCCTGCAGCCAGGCATTGCCTGCCAAGAAGAGTATGTTTTGAAGCTGAATTAAAGAAATATATATGTATTTTTAAAATTTGTATTGAAAATTGTTCAAAAGTGCCTTTCGGTTAATAGAAATAATGAATTTTTTTTTTTAAACTGATTTTTTTCTGAATTATTCAATGTTATTTTAAAGTCTCTTCAGCAAGGACAAAGTGCGATTATCTAAAATTTTAATTTATTATTTTCTGTTAAGCGATCAGTTCAAATATTTTGATCAAAAAAAACATCAACAAATTTTAAAATTTAAAAAAACTTAAAACATAAAAAGTTGCATTACAATATTCCCTTAAAAGTTTATATTTTATTCTTGAAAGGCCGATTTTAAATTAAAAATCCGCACTAAAATATTTAAAAAAAATTTTATCATAAAAAATCCTTAAATTTTTATAATTTTTTTAAATTATTTTTTAATTTTTTTTTTTGCCCTAAAGGCTACCTGAACATATTAATAATTATTATTAAATTATAATTATTAAACTAAAAATTCCATTCCCAATTTTTTTACTCACCAACTTTTTCGAACTTTCAATTAACCAGGGTTGGCCTACTACCAACAACCCGCTGCAGCCCAATACTATGCCGCCCCTCAACGTATGATGTTCATGCGTTACGTCCAACCCACATATGGTAACGCTCGCTCTCATCAAGCTGCTGCCGCTTTGGTTGCTGGTGATTCAGTCGCCACTGGCACTTATCTGCAAGGTTAGTAATGCGCTTGTCATTAGCATACACCATAGTTTTCGCCATATATCATCCCAAACTCTTTGAATATCAAAAACGCTCAATAAAGATTGTGTCCACACAGGAGCCGATGGTGTTGTTGCTGCTGCTGGACCCGCTGAAGCTGCTAGCTTCTCTGGTGAAGAAGACGCCATCGCTGCTGCCGGTGCTCATGTTGCTCACTCTGTTGCCGAAGCCTACCCAGCTGCTGGCGTTTCCGCTGATGAACAACACAAAGTGACCGTGCAAGTTGATTTGGATCCCGCAGTCAGCGCTGAGGCCAGCGATGATGATGCTAAGGAAGGTCGCGAATACAGCTACGATGTGCCTGCTGGCGCTGCTGATGTTGAAGTAAATCTGGCTGGTGAAGCTGCTACTGTTGCTGAAGTTGAGAGCCCTGCTGCCTCCGCGCCCGGTGTCGCTGCTGGTAATGTTGGTGTATCTGTTGGTTTCTCCGGCGCTGCCGAATCAGAAGTCCCCGTGGTCGGTGGCAGTGCTGTTGCCTCAAAGGGTATTGATGTGAATGTTAAATTACCTGCTCCAGCACCAATTGCTCCCGTCGCTCCAGTTAAACCAGCCAGACGTTACTTGCCAGCCAACAAGAAGGTGATTGTTGAATTAGAACAAGCTGCCGACGCTGAAGACGATGCCGAAAACGCCGTTGCTGTGCAAGATGATGAAGACGTAGAAGAGGATGATGCCTACGCACCAGTGCCAGTTGCTCCTAAAGTTCCTGCCCGTCGTCCAGTTGCCAGAAAACCCGCTAAGGCCGGTTGCGCCGGTTGCTCAAAGGCCAAGCCATTGCCAGCTGGTACCTTCTTCCCCGTTGACTTTGGTGGCGCTACCGGTGGTGCCATCGCCATTGCCAACTCTTTCAGCACTGGTGAGGGTGGTGCTGCCACTAGCCACGCCATTGCCTATGGCAATCCCGAACAGGCTCGCACTCATGTGCGTCCCAGCAGACGTCATTAGGATAACTCGCGTTAAAAAGAACTTAATAACTTTGTAAAATCCATAATCGCCTACGCAACGCAAATGACTTGATTATGTAATGCCTGGACAAATTATTTTTAAAGCCCCTTAATGATTGTTTCTTTAATTAAATATTTTATTATTTGTTTTCAACTTCTTAGCCCAATTGTACTACATGACGACAACATAAAAAAAGACAAATAAAAATCTTTTATCCTTAAAAAATACAAATGGGTTTTTAAATCCACCGCTTGATCGTTGTTATCTTTACGTCTCCTTCATTCCAGAACTTTTTTTAATGCAATAGATCACGACCCACTTTGCTCTTACATGGAGAAGACCTCGAAATCTCTATGTGCTGGCGAGATACTATTCAGGGTGTTGTTGCTTGAAACTGCGATTGGTATTCGCCGTAATAGAAGGGGTAATGAAACAGTTTGGGACTTTCATCGAAGTCTTTTGAAAGGAGACCCACTAAACAAGATGTTTCGACGAGTTTGGTCCAAAATGGGAAGGTGTTTTGTGAATTGTCTTATGGTGGCATGCAAAGAGGGGGATAATGTCAAAGTAGGTCACTTTTATATTGGACAAACATTGGCTAGAATGTGGAAAAGTGAAAGTTTACCCGATCTTAATTGCGCTAATAGTACTCGGGCCTCACGCGGACAATCGAAGTCTTCCTTTTGAAATAGTTGGTGATTAGAAACGAGCTGTTTTGATCTTTCGTCCCAAAAAGGGGATTTACTAAGAGCAACGACTTCAATTTCACGAGACAGCTTGAGCCCTTCGTTTCCAATTATTGATGTTATGGTTCCGATGGCACAGAATTGGCGAATGTGTTCGTTGGTCGTCTGTAAATGGAATTGAAGGTTTGTTCCAATGGTTCTCTTATGTTCTCCTGAGGTGACGGTAAAGATTTTTGACCGATTGGTTGTAGACGGCATGCAAAGAGGTTCTTAGTGTTGTGCGAGGAGTCATTACATGCAGGACATACGTTAAGTAAGTCGGTATCAAGACTAAATAAGTATGAGTTGAGTCAACTGCTGTTACCAGACTTTAACAGTGCATGTATTGCTAGGGAGGTTGATCCCTTCATGGGAAGAGAGTTTATGAAGTTGTTGACGGACTCTGAATGCCGTCCTGTCCAGTGGTTCCTTTTGGCGGTGCTTCACGTTTTCGGCGACCTTATCCCTTTAATGTCAAATTGTATCTCTCGGATAGCGGTGCAGCCAGCCGGAATTATAATCGCTTTGGATACTTTTTCGTAATTTTTTTTGCTCAGTAAGAATGCTGATTTAAACCCAAGCCCACCATAATTTGAATAAAAACAGCTTTATTTGTGTTCTTAATATTTTACATATATTTCAGAAGCAATTTATTCCATATATTATATACCAGCATCTATACAAACAAATTATTGAGTAAAATATTAAAAAAACAATTGACAAAGGGGAATTTAACCAAAAATAACATCATTCTAGTGTTTATAAGTTCATTTATACCCTTTCTAATAGACGCAATGTAAAAACTGTCATGATATAAAAAAATCAGGTTTATCAATGGGAAGAATTAAAGAAAATTGTAGTAAAAACGTAAAAAAAAAATTAAAAAATTTAAAAAATTAAAAAATTTAAAAAATTAGATTTTTTATATTAAGCATAGATAGATATGAGCTGCTTTGGAAAACAAAATTTTCGCTATTTTAAAAGCTTCAGATTACATATATTATTTTCCAACATTTGAATATATACGGTTATGATTTTTTTCACTTATTCGCTAAAAGTTTTCTCTACAATGCAATGGCTACAAGTGAATGTCTTCAGTTCAATACATACAAATAATTAAAAAGAATCTTCCCAATTATTCTTTTCTTTTTGTTTTTGTTGCAATCGAGCAGTTTACAAGAAAGAAAAATGTATTGGAGTGAAATAATTTTATTTAAGAGTTTTATGGAATTTTAATGAAAGCTACAAAAAGAGACGACAAGCGTGGCGCATAAAATTCCTTTCGTTCTAATGGCATTTTAAATGTACAATAAATTTTTCATATAGACTTTTTAAGTGTTTTCGGACAGTTATAGAAAACTATTTAACTTGATTCATTCTATATGTATGTATATATATTTATTTATTTGAATGCTATAATTTTTTGTTTTTGCAATGTCCTAGAATCTATGTGTAACCGATTAATATTTTCTTTCGTTCCTTTGTTGTCGTTTAACAACATTTGATGCCTACACGTATTACGCATAATAAATGGAAAATGCGTTTAAATATATAAATAACGCTCAAATATATTTTCGATCAGTAGCCATATTTATCTTGAATCGATGTCATAACATCATTTGCAATTGAACTTAAACGACCAGCAACCTTGTGAACGCCCTGTCGAACACTCTCCTTGACATCGTCCAAGTCAGGTGGCTGAAAGACTACGGCTGCGTATAGAAAAAGGAGAAAATAAATTACAATTTATATAATAAGTGTATATTCGACATTCGAAAAACTGAATTTTTTTTACCAGCCGGATCCCGGGAGCGTCTGCCATTTGCTTGGCCAAATAATTCCGATGAAGATATACTATCGGAATTCTGGAAACGCTTCAAATTTGGTTTTCTTCGCCCTGTTTGACTTGTATCATTATCAAAGAATTGATCGGAACCAAAGCCTTTGGCACTGCCGAACTTATCCTGTGCCGAAGTTTCACTGAAGCTCTTAGCATTAGAGCTGCTTCCAGCTTTACGTGTATTACTATTATTATTGCTGCTATTTGTTGTTGGTTTAGTAGTAGTTTTCTGCTTAGAATCACCATCAGCGCCGGAAAACATTGATGTGATATTGGCATGTCCGCCACCAAATGGTTCGATTGTCTCAAAACCCATCATTTCCAATTCACTTTGATCCGCCTTTGAAGTTTTCGTGCCACCAATACCGCGACCGCTCATACCGATATTATCTATATACAGATGGTTCGAAAATTCACCGAGTACATTATCCATATCAGTCAGCTCATCACTGTTGCCAATGTTAGAATTTCTTGCCTGAGACTGTGTTGTTTTCGGCGCAGCAGTTTGTTGTATGGTTTCCATATCGCTTAGTGCTGAATGCGAAACACTACCACTAAAAGAAAGTATATGTGAAAATATGATTCAAAATATACTGACATGTAAAATATTCTATAATTGTTTTTGCAGACTGTACTATTAAAGTTTGGTACAAGTTAGCGAGCGAAAGGCTTATTTGTTGGTATGAAAGGAATATTTGTTATACAATAAAGAAAAATGTTTTGAGTGTAGGCTGTTGCGGAGATCACCATATCTTCTCACCAGACTTATTATGGCAGAGATCGAACCAACAGTTCCTAACTTGACAGGCAAGTGCTCTAACCACTTCTATTGTTGTAATATTCACTACTACTACGGACGGTAGTTAAACCGCTATTTTACTTAATATTCCATTATATTCCCACCTGCCCGATGTAAAGCCCATGCCGAGCCGTTCCATTTGCTTGTATTTTACTGGATCAATCTTTTTCATTTTTTCTTCTTCCCGTTGCAATTGCACCTTCAAATCCTTGTATGCCAAACGCATGCTAGCTACCTTTTCTAGTTCCTCTTCAGCTGTTTGAGGCTTATCCGACACTATTGGCGCCTCTTTACATTGATTAGCCAAGTTAGCGCGCTGCTCTATTTCAGCGAAATTTGTTTTAACTTTAGTCGCACCGAGTCCGCTTTTACGTGCTCCTAACTGCAATAGAATTCAGATAATTAAAATTTTCAATGCTAAAAGAAGGTTTAATACTATTTACACTTACGCCAGATTTCTTTGGCTGTATCTTGCGCACACCAATGGAAGGTGTGACAGCCGGCGGTGGTGCAGCAGAGTTTAAAAAATCAACACTAGGAGCACCAGAATTCATGTTATCAGCCAGTTTTGGAGCAACAGCTTTAGTTAGAATGTCGAGCTAGATTGAGAGAGAATACAATATACAATATTTCTTAATCAAATTTAGTTCATATCAAAAAATTATTGGGGTTTAGAAACATTTGCAACCAAAATGCGCTATTCATGCTTTATAATATATACCTTCACTTCCGACTCGCTATTATTATTATCTAGCAAGTTTTTCTTATTGTTGTCATTAGTGCACTCAGCAAAGAAGTCTTCCTCCGTTTCGGTGGTGGATTTCACATCATTTCCATCCGATTTGTCAGCGCTATTTTCCAAGTGTAACTACGTGTATACATATGTATTTGTGTATAAATGTTTGCAACGCAGGGCATATGAGATATGTTATAACATACGTTGTCGGAAATTAGTAATGAAATTTTGTTTAAAAGTGCAAAAAAATTCAAGCAAATTAAAGGTCTACATAAAAAATTAATAAATCAAAAACTCAACAAATTACTTTTTTTAATTTAATTAGAAACAAGTTCATAACAAAATGTTTTTAACTGAACGTTTTTAAAATTGGTAAATTGCATATGCATACACACCTTGGTACCATGCACTTTCATAGCCTGCTGGGCTATGGCAGCCAATTTGTCGCGATACAGTTGTGCTGCACGCGAATTGTACTTCTGTTGGGCATCGGTGGTAACACAGTTATGTTGTCGGAAAAACTGTGCTGCATTAGCATTGCCGCCTAGTTGCATTTGGCGTAACTGCAGCCAGGTCCAGTTAGTGTCCAGATTTGTTGAACGTACAAAGGTCAAATGAACACCCAAGTTACGGTGTACCGCCGAGCAATCAATGCATATAAAAATTCCATATGTAACGGAAGACCAAGTGGGCGCCTTTGCCGAGCAATCGAAACAAGCCTGAAAATTTAATTTAAAAAAAAAAAACCTTTACAAACATTTCCAGGAAGCAACAAAATGCATACAATTGTCTTTTTACTTTAATACATATCAAGTTTTTTGCCTCGATCTGTAATAATCATTTCTCGAGAAACCACTTAATTGTTGACGACACACATATTATTAACAGGTGCTATATACTACGAAATTGTTGTTTTCTGCCTTGAACACTTACTTTATTGGCAGGTTGTGTGCGTAGGCGGTGGAACACTGCCTCAATATCCTGTTTTGTGGGTCCTGCAACTGATGTGGACATGGTGCTTCCTGAAAGTGCACCCTTGACCAAAATACTATTATTGATGCAAATTTTCTACTGTTAGCTGCAATTACAGAGCGTTCACCTTGGGGAATTTGCTAGAAATTATTGCTTCTATTCAGCCAATGATACTACCACTCAAACAATTATACTTCCACAACACTTTGGTAAGACTTTATATGTTTGCTTTCTATAGTAGCATTCGTGCAAGTAATATTTTTACACTTTTCTACTCTGATTAAATTTTGACGTGTATTTTCGATGAGGAAATCAAAGAATTTCCAATTTCCACGTTATGACTTTTATGATTGGCACTGGAAGGCAACTTGTCAGTTACAGTGCTGCCAAGTTCATAACAATTTTATACGAAAGAAAAAAACAATGTTGCGGGATAATGTTTAGAAACAGGATTTAACAAGTTTTTATTTTGAAAATTATAATAGATGCACATACATCTTTTGAGCCTTATTTTACACAAGTTAATAAAAATAAAACAATCAAATTATACACATACATATGTCACATTATTATTTTTCGTTCAGCTGCGTCGAGTCCGTCTTAGCTTGCGTTCGTGTTACTGTCGCAATACTTTTTTCATCTTGCAGCAAAACAAGACGAACAAATGCTAAATTAAGTAACAGTGATTGGCCCAAAAATTCACGCTGATAACGTCCTGCTCGTGAAAACATTTCTCTATGCTCTTGTGGAAATTGTACGTTGCCACGTAAGGATAGATTTTGATCTTGCACATCATTACTGTTCCACCCACTTTCTCGCAAATCTTGTAACATGACCGATTTTATATTAAAATGGGTACGCATAAGTTGTAGAACTGTTTCCTCTGAAGATACGCGTTCAGTTCCCACCAATTGACTGAACAGGCGTGCAGTCAAAAAGCGTCGAAGATAAAAAACATTTGATCGTCTATCTGCTGATTTCTTCCCATTGTTCTCCTCACCAGCTTGATCAATTTGTAATACTTCAGTATGTCTTTCCCGCGAACAGAGTGCAAATGCCAGCACTGCAATTACTTGTGATTTTTGTACACTTATATTTTGTTGATCAACACTCCCCGGATTGCTATTTATTTGAGCCAATTGGGGATTTTCCAGAAGATAGCAGTCCGCTTTGGGAATAAGATGATCTACATATAATAAACGTTGCACCAAGTCACCCAAATGCATTTTTTTCTCTGTGATTTCATGATGTTGCCAATGCGTTAAGGTGCATGGCTCATTTACACTCTCTGTTTCAGGCAATTCTAGACGAGCCCATGATACACTGGAAACTCCAATACGTAATGAAAGGCATGATTTGATTTCTTTCCGATGTTCAACATCGATTGGTGGGGTTATGAAGCCAGCGGTACGTTGACGAGCTGAACGTGGTACTAGTGGTCGGGAGGATTAAGTCATTCTATTTAATAATCTATTTATAAAGTTTTTTTTACATACCTTGACTATTCCCTGAATTACTCTCAAGTATACTTTTGTAGAATTTATCAACTACCTTTAAGCCAAATCCTTCTATGAGTAGTATATCTTCTATACTTTTCAATGGCCCATTGCGCTTCTTCCATGTTATTAACTTTGCAGCGCGTGTTTTGGCAATGTCATAACTATAAAGTATCATTTATTGTAATTGTCACCCATATAATGAATGATCAGTTACCTTAAAATCCTATTAACGTCTTCATTATTCAAAATACTAAGTACTTTTTCTTTCTCTTCTGTGGTATAATTTTGGAATTGTAAACTACCGGGCTGTTGTTTGTCCGATTCAGCAGCCGGTGAAAACTCAACTTCTGCTTTCGCATTGCAATTTGCTGTTATTGTTGTTAAATACTTTTGAGGTCTACCGATATTACGAATTGTATGATTGAAGAAATTATAGAAACCGTGTTTTAACATTTTTTAAAAAGTTAGTGAATAAATATGTTACGAAAGGAACAAAAAAAATGCGGAAAACCAGCTGATTAATAATAACAAAGCAAAGTGTTGCACCTTTCGATAATTGAATGTTTTATCCCTTCAGAAGTGTGCACATTTTTATAATTTTACGAATACTTCTGTAGTACGCTCGCTTTTCTCTCGATATAATAAGGATGATAGCAGGATTAATATTTTTTTAATTTTTTTTTTTTTAATTATAATTTTTACATGGATTTTTCATTTATTTACATATATATTTCTAAAAAATTATTTAACCAATTACTAACTTTTCTACAACACGCCCTAAAATTGTTGTCTTTGCTTTACAATGAACACTACCCGGACAGCTGTTTATTGTTGCTCGCTTTCATGGAAAAATTCCAAAAGAGGAAAACAAAAAACAAAAAACAATAAAAGTTAAATTCAGTCGCTTGAATAAATCGAATGTGAGAAGATAATAAAAGCGGTAAAAGTATACAGTAATTGAACCGCAAGTAAAAGTGATAACGTTTTTACAATGCGAGACATATGATTTGCGGAAAAGGAAAAACAACAATCGTAATGTGCAAATTAAATTAATTTTTATATATATATATACAAATTTAAATATGAAAAGGTAATCTACAATCCGATTACAAAAAAAGTAAAATAATACATAGATGGCAGTGGTAAAGGAAATATAAAATTTAGCTTTATAGTGAGTGCATCCTTTGAAAGCAATGTAAATGAAAGTTTGCTTGGTTATGTGTTATATGAATGCTATAAAATTTAAAAATCGGATCAACAAATCATGAACAACAATATAACACAAATATATTAGTGATATTGAATCAGATTAATTCTGAAGTTAATCAGATCATTTAGAATTTCATTAATTCCATTCGAATGTGTGATTATTTACTGTAGGCGTGTGTGTATTACTTAAAAAACTTGTAAGCGTATGTAACTGCATTTGCTGCTTGCCTGTGCTCAGATGTAATCTGCTTTTTGTAAAATTAACAAATATCAATGATAACAAAGGTTGCAATTATAGAAGTATTAACATCCATATACATACAATTGTCGACGTACATAAGTAAGTTCATCTGCTGCTGTTGTTGCAATCTGAAAAAGAAAGTGAATTTTTGCGTGCGTCTCAGTTGTTTTTCGGGTTTTCATATGTGAAATGTGACGAAAGAAAAAAGCTACAAAAAATTAATGTGAAAAGCAAAGCAAAGCAAAGAAATCAACACAAATATAAAAACAACGACGTCAGGGCCGTCTAGCTGGCCACAAAGAGTGTAGGCCTTCACAGGCGCAAAGCAGATGGATGCCAAGCTCTAGCTGTATAGTATACACAACAAACATTTGCACATCATATAGGTGTACATACATACATGTACATATATACAAGCAAAAGCTACTTAGCGGGTGTGTACGCGATTGGATGCCGCATATGGCGTAGCTACATACATACATATAAATTTAACAACATGCGCTAAATTGAGTGAAATGTGAAATTTTGACATGTTTTCGTTTTATAAATAAAACCAATTAGATGTCATCATTTCGCGTTAATTATGCATGTTATTTGAGGTATTCATTCACACAAACACTTTTTACAATTCCCATTGAAAAGTGTTTACCGCTCAATGCAAACGTCTACAAATTGAAGTTAAAAAATTAAAGCAATTGTTCTTGTATAATCCCTGACAAATCAGTAATTGATTGGCAATGAACGCGACCTTGAACTTTGAAGCGATAACATCAAGCGACCGGCCACGATGGTCGCTACATCAAAATAACAACAACAAAACTTCACACTACTACCTATCCGAGGCTATCACACACACAACAGTCAAACGCGGTGTCGCAGATGTGAGGGATAATGAAATGATGGAAGAAACTACGAACACTTGTAGCAGTACGCCCATCCGCACGCCTGCCAATTTTTTCGACGAAGGATGTCTACTCTTCGACAGCGAATTCTCCGCACGCTCATTGCACAAAAGTAACAGTTATAGCGGGTCCATGCGGCCAAAAGCGTTGACACTCAAACAGAAATATTTGAACGGACGCATTGTCGCCAGTTTGACGGACGATGATATTGCAAGCACTACTTTGAGGAATGCCTTTCAAACAGCCCCAACATCCACTATCGAACTCGAATCAAATACAATTAACAACTACGACAATGATGCGGTCGTTGAACTTAATGACGAACACGATCTACTTATGCCAAACCCAACCGTCGCCGGCCGCAGTGCCGACGACAACTACAGGAGAAGTTTAGCCGGCAACAGTCCACGGCGTAGTATACGTGGTGCGGTAAAGGCGCGTAATCGTATGTGTTGCAGTCGAAAAGTTGTCCTTGGTTTCCTGCTGCTTATACTTGCAATTGCAGCATTTCTGTTATTTGCATATCTGACACGCGATTACACCAAACATTTTTTACTTTGGATCGAAGCACAAAACCCGTGGGCTATAGTCGCTATACTGTTGGTGTGTTTTGTGGTCGTCAGTTTTCCAATAATTGTGGGTTACTTTGTGCTAATGCTCACTTCCGGTTACCTGTTTGGTGCCATAAAGGGACTGCTCATTGTGATAGTTGGTGCAAATCTGGGCGTGGCTGTGTGTTATTGGACATTGCGGAGTTTCCGACAATACATCCCAGTTCATAGGTGAGCATTGCCAATTAATGATAATAATAAAATATTTATATGTAGAAATATCATTATTAAGTTAACTATGTTTTTACTTATTAAATTTGTTTATACAGGAATTTCTGGAAAAAATTCAAGCTCCTGGTTGAAAATAAAAGAATTAAAAAGAAAAAAATTACTGAATGAAATCTGAAAATAGAACATATCAGACGCAACGCAATTTGCTCACGAAAAAAACTTTCTTTATACCAAAAACCTCCTTTAGACCACACGCAGTTTGAAACTTTTATAATTAAAGGACTTTAATCGACCTGTTAAAACTTTGCTCATTAACTCTTTGAGTTATTTATTCCTTTAATAAATTAATTAACAGCAAAGTTCCCACGAAAAAAAAAAATCCCATTGTAGTCAGCATAGTTACCCACCCACCCATTTCTGCTACCCACCGACAGTAGCATTCATTATTGTTAAATAATAAATATACATACAAGAACAATTCCATTCAATAACTATCTCTTCCATCGCACTGAGCTCTTGCCCTAACTCATACAGTTGCAGTCGTCAAAGCACATTTGTCCACACATTTTGTGTTTGCTCCGACCATTCGCCTACCAACCTGTGTTATTGTTATGTCTGCCTGTCAATTACAATCAACAAGGAATTTAATGAAATCAATTACGCAAACTTTAGTAGGAGATGATAGTCAACAAACACACAAATAGGTAATTTTTTTTTATTAGGAAATGACCACCTCCAATTCCGTGCCTTTTGTCATAAATTATTCTACGCTGACCACAATGAAACAAGCTTTTTTCACTTTGCACTGCAGGTCAAGCGCTTGAATTAACTACTGACCCAGTTTCTATTGGGAATATGGATAAATCCCTCCAATTTAAACTAGTATGCATTTTCTTATTGTGAAATAAAAGTCATAATTTCAAATAGCGACCATAAAATCTGGTTATTTAGCAGTCTTTAGTTACTCAACTTTTTTATTTTTTTATCTTTGGTGGAATCATATATGTATATACATATATATATTTTTTTTAAACATTATTAACTTTTCGTTCAATTTTATTGGGCTAAATATAGAAACTTTGCATCGCAGCTAATTAAAAAAAGTGCAAAATTTTATTGATAAAAATTATGCCTCATAAAAACTTTATTATCAACAACTTCCGTTTATGGCACTCATTCATCTATTTATGATTATAATTGATTTATTGAACCGCGAAATACGTAAGCTATTTTCAATGTCATCCTTCCTTATGGGGCTGAATAATTTATTGTAATAGCTTAAACGCAATTCGAAATGAAAAATGGAAATGGCAGAAAGCTTATCAATTTGGGACAAACGATGAAACTTTGTAGCTGCAAATTCTTAAAATCAAACACATCCCAGCCACTCGTGCAGCCCTCTATAGAGCTTTCTCTTTATAAAAATTTGAAGTACTCAAGTAGCTCATATTCTTATCAAATCTAAGGGAATCAAGTCAATACTTTGATTTATTACTATTTGCTCATATATCATTCCACCAGCAAAATTTGTTCACCCATACTGTTACTATGTTATCATAATTCCGTTAAAACTTTCGCACTTTTTGTTGTATATAATAAACTAACATTTATCTTTTTTTTATTGTATTAACTAAGCCGCAACCAACCGCATTTCACATTCGACTTTGCTCAGCGAGCGCTAGTGTGAAAATATATAAAGACACGCGATCGATCATATATGAAATTAACACTTGAAATTGTGATTTAATCTACATTAAATAATGACACACTGTGAAGTGATTGAACAAACTCACATTGTGAAAAATGATATAAATACAAATAGCTTTAGTTTAATAGTATCAGTAAGAAATGATAAATTATCTCATATTCATTTAAGTTAGGTTAGGTTAGCTCCACCTAGAGAGGAAAAGCTTTATGGGACTGATCTTTTTAATTAAACTTAAAGCAAACATTCAACTGCTGCTTAGCTGTTCAATAAAAATTTACGTAATGAGCCAATAGAGTAGATGCTGCCCGAAGGTTTTTAAACCTCGTCTCCAATTAGCGCTGTAGCGCCACAATCGTCACTATAATATCACGTTTCATCGTTATGTTCAATGCATTTAGTGTACTCAATTGAACTTCCTATATCCATTAGGGTATGCATAAGACCCACAGAGAATATGTATAATTGTCTCCTTTTACTGTACTGCTATAGAGCAGATCTATTTTTGATTAATGCTATCCGAAGAGCCAGACAACCATTTTTGTGGCAGTAAATCTGCTAACCTCCTTAAAAAAAAGATTTGATATCACCTTTTCAAACTTGAACCAATCTGCTAGTTATAGAATTCCATCAATCGACCTAAATGTAAATGGGGTTAGATTTAGGAAAGGGTGACACCCCTTGGATGTATAAAATCCGGTGAAAATGGTTCCTACTATTTGTTGCCCGTGAAGATTTCTCGTGCTCGTTCCTAACATACATTGAGTGAATTAAAAGATATTGCCGACTTGGCCAGCTCGTCAGCTATGTCGTTACTGAAAATGTTCCTACGACCGGAAACCATAAATTATGGAGATGTCGTGTTGATCTGCCAATGAGCCTTTCTGCAATTGTTTACGACACGTTGAAAGTAATGTGTTTTTGATGTTTGTTCTGTACCCATGCCGAGGATATTCTTAGTAATTATTCAGTCTCTTTGTTCAACTTTTGCTGGTGATTCGATTTGAATGAGAAGCTTTTTTTCGATCTTTCCTATTCTTATTTTATACTAATTGGAAGATTTTTTTTTTTCAAAATTAGTTATACTCGCGGTCTATTGCTTGGAAAGTATTTATTCAGCTTGAAAAACAGATTAAAAACCGTACGAACATACTCACTCATTTTTCAATATTTACAAAAGCTTACGTAAGCTTAGAAAGCGCCCAAATACAGCCAATCACAGTTTGAAAGTCTCTGAAACGTGAAAGTGGTAAATTGAGAGAATTTAAATAAAGAATTTATGTGCAAAATAATTATAAATTTTTGCACAAATTTCTCTTAATAAATTTTATGCCTTATATATACATAAATATATTATTTATTTAGAGAAAAAAGCTCTATGCGCTTCATATAAATTCTAAAGCCATTTTTTATACATATATTTGTTGATATTTACTTTGCCGCCTTCTGTTGAAAACAACACTAATTTTACAATTATTTACTTTTTTTCCATTTCCAGAGTAATTAGTAATGAAACAGCGCGTGCTATATTGCGCGTCATATCGGGGCCGAAAGCATTTAGAGTCGTGTTGTTTACACGCCTCACGCCCATTCCATTTGGTGTGCAAAATCTGATATTTGCGGTGAGTGTTAAGTACAATAGTTTTTTCTTTATTTACTATATTTTATCGATAAGACATTTTTTTTTGTACTTTAAATTACTTTTTGAAATTATTCTACCTCAATACTAGTACGCGTATTTGTGGAAAATATATTTTTGAATGCGACGCTTAGTTTCCAGGCACCGAAATTCCGTGTAATTTTTATAATTTCCATGTAGACTATTAGTGTACATGCTTACATATGTATTTGAATTTAGACTTGTTAATATTTACCCAGTCTACGTAATTATGCTTGTATATTTGTATATTTAATGCGTTGCGTTGCGTTGCGTTGGCTACCCACAATTTAACATATGGGCGTCATTAAAAATTGTATATTTGTATTTCTTTGTTTGTATATACATATGTATGTACATATGTATCTCGTGGTTATATTTTAATGCTTTGTTTAATTTATAACAGTAATTTTCGATTTCTTTTTTGTTTTGTTTTGGTTTTTGTCCTGCAAAAATTTATATTTAAATCGAAGCATGTGCGTTCCATATTCTCATGACATATGTTTGTAAGATTGGGAATTTATATTTTTTTTATACATTTTTGTATACATATGTACATACATATATGTATGTAGAAATATCTGTAGAGAAGAAGCGGCGAAAGTGAATACAAGTGTAGAAGAAAATTGTTCGAAAGCTTCTCCACTTTTTCCACAAAAATTGGACTTTTAGGTGAAAAGGCGTCAAAAAAAAGTTAATATTTTGTTGTATATTTAACTGTCATATGCATCATGTATTAGTTTTAAATAATTAATTTTTAGTGTGAAAAACTTTTGAAAATTTAATTTTATTATTATTTTTTTTTTTACTAAATATTTAATTTTTATTATCTGTTTCGCTATTTCAACTTAATTTCTCTATCGGCAATTTTACTTTTTTACGTATTATTAGTTTATTTTATACTTAAGTTTTATATAAAAAATGTCATGTGTAAAAATTTTGAAATTTCCATGATAAAAATAAATTAATGTTCTTAAAATAGTTTATGTACTTTTATATGTACATATAAATATATGTTTTGTGTTCTTTTTAATTATATGTTTTTTTTTGCTCAATTTACTTTTAACTGTTTTTGTTTGCGTATATATGTATTTATCTATGTATGTATGTATTTTATGAGCCAAAACAATTGTCTCAATTAAATATTGTTTTTTTTTTATTATTGCGTTGATTTGAAGTTATTTTGCATATCAATTTCTGGCCAGTTTTTTATGACGTTCACTATTTATGTGTATGCATATATTAAATGTAAATATACATGCAATACTATATATGTATGTATGCATGTTTATTATTTATAAACAATAATTAGTCAGTTTCTACAAAATTCCTTAGTACTGTTCTTCTCATACATAGATATTTATTTATATATTTTTCAATTTTTAAATGCAAATAATCGAATGAATACGAAGACGGAGCAAAGTTGAAAAATTGAAAAAAAAAAATTTAAATTTTTAACATCAAAAATTTCGGCGGTTTCTCAACTGAAAATTATGTGTTAATTATTGTAAATTTAATTCGACTATTTCTAGTATCCCTAGAGCTGGGTGTTGTAAGTTTTTGCCATTGCAAGCGTACGAGTATCTCATGAATTACAGTTAAAAGCACCACCTACTACTTTCTCCCTAACAACCACCCAATTGGTATACTATCATTACGCTCATACACATGCATACATACTATGTAAATATTATTTAATTCAACTATCGGCATGTAGATGTCATAAGTTGTTATTGAACTAATGATTATTACATTAAACTCCATAAATACAGTCTTATTGCTTATAAATTATAGTTAATGTCTCATGTAAAATCCGTAGACAAAAAAGAAAAATTATTTACTAACACACTAACACACACAAATACATATGTATGTATGTAAACATTTATTCCACAAGCAAAGTCTTTGACTTAAACAAATGAAACTCGTTTAGCTTGTATGAAATTTAGATTGTTGCTATTACTAAATGTGTTCAAAGCGAAAAAAAATAACAGAAATTGAGTAAATTAAATAAAGTAAAAGAAAAAAAATTTGTTAAAATAAACACACAAAAAAAATGGCTACGGCGTAAAGCTCAATTGCCTCACTTAGTTTAAGCTTTGCTTAAAGGCTTACTAAATTTCTCAGCACGTTTTAAATTTATTTGGAAATTGATGTTATGACATTAACACACGCTCTCGTTTCTTGCAATCTATTTACAATTATACTGATAATAATTTAAAAAATCGATATTTAATCTAGATTTACTCATGGACAAGTGAATTTCTTTCGCCAACTTATTGTGCGCTATAAAGTTTATAGCCTGAGTTGTACAGTTCTGTGGCTGTAATTTTTAATTTTCCTTAATTTTCTTTGATTTTTACCAATTTATTTTTTTATTTAATTTAATTTTAATATTATTTATTTATTTTGTAATTTATCTTATTCTATTTTTGTTTAATTTTTAATTTTGTATTTTATTTTAATTGATTTTAGTTTATATTATTTAGTTTTTGTGTTTTATTTATATAATATTTTATTTTATTTTAATTAATATTAATTTTCTTTTATTTAATTTTATATTATTTTATTTTGCTTTTCTTTACATTTTATTTTATTTTACTTTAATGTATTTGAAATATTTTTATTTTTCTTTATATTTTTTATTTTTATTTATTTTGCATTACTTTATATAATATATTATATTTTATATTAATTTTTTTTTATTAAAATTGGGTTAAATAAATTTCAAAGTTTTTGATTTATTCAATTTCATTTAATTTTATAATCCATTGTTTTTCATTATTTAATTTCATTTTCGTTATTCCCTTTTTTATTTATATTATTTAATTTAATTCACATTTCTTTTTTCATTTTCTTTTATTATATGTTTCCTTTTTCTCAAACACCGACCTTTTAATTTTTTTTATTTTCTTTTAATTCATTTCATTAATTTAATTATTTTCTTTTATTATTTTTTTGTTTATAAATTTTATTAATTTATAACAATTAATTTAATTTATTTAATTTATTATTTTATACCATTTTATTTTACGTTATTTCATTTTAGTTCAATTGATATTATTCATTTTACATTAGTTAGTTTTTTTTTTAATTTCTCTTAATTGCATTTTATTTTATATAATTTAATATAAATAATTTTATATTTTATTTCCCTTCAATTTACGTTAAATTTTGACTGACGAATATAAAATTTCCAAAACAATTACATTTCCTTTGTACTGCCGTAAACAATATTTGAATACTAATTTCCTACTTGAGGAGAAGTTTTTTTTAGTGTGAATTTTAATGGTGATGGTCGCCACATGAGTAATCGCAGTTTTTTCTTTTATTAGTATTATTTTTTCAAAGAATTTAATTATTATTATTTTATCAACTAATTCTTCTTATCTATCATATTTTTTTCCAACATAGATCAGTACTATTAATCCCAGCGCTTACCACACGGCGTCGCTTATAGGCCTGTTGCCAGCGCAGATCATCAATGCTTATTTGGGCTCAACTTTGAGGTCGATGCAGGAAGTGCTGAATAATCATGGCACAGCGGTGACTGGGTATATTAGTTTCGGCGTAGAGGTAAGTTTCATCGTTGCGCATTTTTTTAAACAATTTATAAACATTTTTCATGTAAACATATATACATATATATCGTATATGTATGCAAATACTCATACACACATTGAATGTCGGCAGTCTTTTCAAAATTTTGTTGTTTTGGGCCGAAAACAAATCCATCTGAAGCAGCTGGCTTAGCAAATGTTTATTTAGCATTTGCTTGCTGTATTTATTTTTATATCTCAAGTAATAAATCTAAGAGGTTAATGTTTGTTTATCCCACTGACAGCAGTCAATTTTACTTTGTAAGCGAAATTTGTCGTTATTTGAGCAAGTGCATTGGCATTTAAAAGCAATAGAAAAATAAAATAAAATGCAACAAAATATGGAAAATTTTCTTTAAGTTGGTTTATATTTTTTTATATTTCTATTCTTTGCTAAATTTCGCTTTTATTCTTGTTATTTTAAAGCAAAATAAAATAGCTTAGTTTGCAGCGCATGTCAAACTGTTTGCTGTTGAAGTGAGTTGCGCCTGCAACTATGCTATAATGAGTTGGTTGAGTGCAAAAGCGTCTGAAATGAAAAGTGACTGAAATAAAGTTTGCATTTTTTTTAATAAATTAATGAATATGATAATAAAAAATAGTTTCAACTAATTTTTTTTTCTGAAAATTTTATTAAAGGTTATGGGGATTTTCAATTCTAAAAATTTTTTTGCCAAAATCTGGGAATATGTTCGCCCGTAATTTACATTCGTGTATTTGTAATATTCTTAAACCATATTATATTTCATTAACCAGCTTCATAAATCATTTTTCTCTTCCTTCCAGGTCATCTGCGGTGTCGCTCTTATGGTTTGGGTCATACAAAAGGCGCGTAAAGAATTAACCCAGACACTACTCTCTGATCCTAACAACGAAGGCAAACTAATCGAAATAGATGTGTGATTGATGTACAATACATATGCTAGTACAAAGCGTATACCAGCAGGCTAGGCAGTAGTATATACAATAAGCAATAAGAATAGATTTTAAATGCTCAAATAAAGCTCGAAAACCAAAGGTGGCTTTTGCCAACTTGTAAAAAAAAACATACTTCCTAAGAAACAAAAAAAAAACGTTAACTTAGAACGCTCACTAAACACATGAAAGACTACATATTTTTAAATGAATGAAAACAAAATTGCTCTCTTATTTTTATAAAGAAAAAAAATTAAATAAATAATTGTATTTTTTATATTTTTTCGTTTAGATAAAACTTTCTTTACCAAAATTAAGCTGTACGGAAAAATTTAAATTAAAATACAATTAAGAGAATATTATTTTGTATGTGTATGTAAATGCAAACAAAGCCAAATTGATGTAGTAGACTAAAATATATATAAAAAAATGCATACAAAATTATTGGTTATAAAAGCAAAATATGTTTCTCGTTTTATATATATATATATATGTGTAAATATTTGCATATTTTGCGTTAAAGACAAGTATTAATGAAATAAAAATTATTTCTACAATTATTTTTTAACACTTATATATATACAGATTTCTCCTGCATTTTTATAATTAAATATATATTTAAATGCTTTTCAAAATTTATAACGTTTGTCATTTATAGTGCATAAATTCTTAAATATTAAAATATTCAACAACTTATTTATAAGACTTACTTACTATACATGCTGTGTAGTCATCTTTATATTCGTGTTATGTATATATATATTTTTTACACATATTCATATCTGCATAAAACTGTCGAACTCGCTTTTTGTCTAAAAAAAAACAGTCTGAGTTTTCAAGAAACGACCAAGCTGTGCCTAAAATTTAAGCCGATTTTACGCTGTTCAGTTTATAAATTATAAGCATTCTTTCTTTTCTAACTAAACAATACATTTCATGTACAAAAAAAACAGGCTGCACCAATTTTTTACTTTATTTCTTAAACTTTTTACTTACAAATTATAATTTTAATATTTTATTGCTGCCAAAAATAAATCGTGATTCTCATATTTGCTGCTGCATATCAACATTTTTTTACATACATATATATTAAGTATGTGGTGTGGGTGTATGAAGAATTATAGAGGTAAAAAAAAAAAACAATTTTTATGTAAAAAATATGTTTAGTCATGCTGTAAGTGTTATTAAATTTATAAAGCATTTTTGGTAATACATATACCATATTATAGACACATATATTTATACATATACATGAGAACTTATATTCTAAGTTTTAGAATTAATAGAAATAAATGTGAAATCTTGTCAGCCGAATATGTTGGTTTATTTTTCCTCAACTTTGATGTGTACATAAATTTTCATTTCATACCAAATTGTTGCTTTGGGCTACTGAATCGAATATTTCCACTGACAAATTTTAAAAACACAGTTTTTATTTTACTATAGAATTAAGCACATCTTTTTGTAAATGGTTCCGCGTTGGAAATTTTATATTGTCCAAACATCTATGATTTCTCGTGTTTGATACTTCTGCGTGACTTTTGCATAGTGATCCGCTGTTCTTGCGTGATATTTTCCTTTCTCCCTTCACTTCTAACACTTCACACATTTCTGCGCCAGTTACGTAGTCTTTTCTCCAAATGTTGCTTGCAAACCGTTTCTAAAACATTCAATGCCAAGTAGACATCATCATAGGTGATGCAGAGCGGCGGTCGTATGCAAAATACCTAAGAATAATATACAAATATTATTTTGAAAAAAATAAAAATAAATAGAACTCAAATTAGCATGCACCTGAAAGTTTAGTGGCGTTTATCTAAATGTTACTACATGAGAGGAAGGTGTAAAAATTTCAAGTGTGTATGGATATTTGAAGATTAGTTGGTAGTTAAAACATAAATTTAAAATTAAAAATTTATATATATTTTGTTAATTTAATCTAATTTTGAGTTTTTTTATAATTAAAAAACCAAAGGTTATTATCAAAGCTTTTTGAATTCGACATTATTAAATTCCTTTAATTTTAAAATTAAACATTACTAAGAAAAAAAATATTATTATAATTTTATGTATAAAAACAAAGATTTTAAAAACCAAAAATCTTTTTGTAAAACAAAATTATTAATCTGAAAAAATAAATGATTTTTGATATGCAAAGAAATTAAAAATAAAAAAAACACTTAAAAAAATTCAAATCGGCACTGTATCTTTTATTACGCTTTAAAGCAATTCGGCGGCGCTGAATATGTCATTTTAACCAGCATAACATATTTGTGGCTGGCAGTTTTGCTTAGTATATTCTCGGATAAGGACATAATTGAAACTTTCTTATTTAGGTTCTTGCAATTATCATTTTTTATTTTATTTAAAGTTTCAAAAATCTTTCAAACATTGGCTGGTAAGTAAATTTATCAAAAACTAATAATTTAGAAACTCGTATAAAATTTAATCTATTTATTAAAAATATAAATACCTAAATTTTAAAACTAATAAAATATTTTAAAAGTCTTGGAACATTATTTGAAAATAAAATTAACTCCTAAATGTAGGCAACACACCAAGAATGCTTCTGCAATGTACAACCACCACATTTCCCGTAACCAAAAATACATTTTTTCCTACTTTTAGGAAATTTTCAAAAACGACAAAACATTTGCACTATAGAACTAGATGTAGAAATATAAAACAGACTTTTCTTATTACTTGTGACGTCATTTGCTTAATGAAACACATTTTTTAACTAGCAGCAGCTAGCTAGCAACAAAAAAAATAATAACCCATAAATTAAAAAAGTTATTAGAAAATATGCAGTGATTTTGGAATTTTAGCCCCCTCTTCTACTGCTTTCTATTCAAAACTTCGTTTATAGCGTTGGCCAAGGTATCCACAGCGAATTTAACATCCGTTTTCGTAACACACATTGGTGGTTTTATGCGCAAGACCTGCAAGAGAGAAAGGGAAAGAGAAGAAAATGTGTAGGGATAGAATATAGGGGATGTTCTTTAGTATGAGCGATATTTTGTTAATTGCAAGCAAGTTTTAGTTGATTTGAAATATTACTGAGAAATATGTATTTAATTGAGGAAAATCGAAAAATGGAAAATATGAAATTGAGGATATCTATTGCTTATTTAAAGTTAAGCCAAAAACTCTTTAGACCCATAAAAATAGTAATATTTCTACTCACATTGCCATTTAGACCGCCACGTCCGAAGAGTACACCCATATCCTTGCAGGTCTCCCAAATTTCCGCAACATGTGGCGCGCTCAGTGGTGTTCTTGCCGCACGATCCGAGACCATTTCAACGCCGATCATTAAACCTTTGCCGCGCACATCACCAATAATCTCAAAACGTTCACGTAGCTTCGCCAAGCTTTTAAGGAAGTAAGTGCCCACTTCCAAAGAATTTTTCTGCAACTGCTCCCCCTCAATGACTTCCAACACTGAGATACCTACAGCACTGGCCATCGGATTGCCGCCGTAGGTGTTGAAATGCAACGCTTGCCCCAGTGAAGCGGCAATCTTGGGTGTAGTGACGACAGCGGCTAGCGGAAAGCCGTTGCCGATGCCTGGTAAAGTAAATTCATATTTCAATGAACATATTTTGCGTATTAGGCCTTCTCAAACTCACCCTTCGCCATTGTAACAATATCTGGTATGAAATCGTGTCCCTCGAAGCCCCAGAAATGTTCGCCGGTGCGTCCGAAACCGCTTTGCACCTCGTCGGCGATGAAGACACCGCCATTTGCGCGCACCAATTCAGCCGCTTTCTTGATGTATCCCTTGGGATATTGCACAGTGCCGCCTACACCTTGTATAGATTCGGCAAACATGGCGGCGACACGTCCACGTGGCAGCGAGTATTTGAATACTTCTTCTAATTGATCATAATACCTGGCGCCAGCCATACAACCACTTTCCGATGTGCAATCACACTTACGATCCGTTTGTATGGGCGAATCACGACATGCTGCACCACCCCAAAGGCCGAGATAGGGATCGGGATTCATAACATGATGAATGCCATTACTGACGCCAGGCAGTGGAAACCGCCAAGTAGAGAGGGCCGTCAGTCCCATCGTATAAGGTGACATGCCATGATAGGCATTACGGAAGGTGATGATGTCCTGATTGCCTGTGTGTAAGCGCGCCATGAGCATAGCGAGATCGTTCGCCTCAGAGCCGGAGTTAACAAAACACACAGCCTTCAGTTCGCCAGGAAACTTGGCCGTCAAGCGTTCGGCGTACTCGTGTATCTTCGGATGTAGGTAAATATTAGTTGTGTGCCAGAGTGTGTTGATCTGTTTCTCCAAAGCCCGATTCACTTTGCTGTTAGAAGAAATATGAAATTAATTTTTTTTACGAAAGACAGTTCATCTTCTATATACTTACGGATGACAATGTCCCACTGACACAGTTACAATACCGCCAAACATATCCAAGTAACGTCGACCCTCGTGATCGAACAACCACTGCATGTGTCCGTTATGTATCAAGAGAGGTTTCTTGAAATGCGGCACTATGTTTGGCGTAATGTGCTTTTGACGTATCTCCAATACTTTTTCATAGCTTGGTCCGCTATATTGCGGCGATTGATAGTCGCATTCAGGCATTTCGCATTGAATTTCCGGCATCACAGCCGGCGAGGCTTTCGAAAGCAGAGTTGATGCAGAGCGTTGCTGTATGCCATGACGCAATAAGCGGGCCGTTTGTACTGGAATCAAGGAAATGGAGTTGCAGGATTGATAAAAATAAATAAAATGTTTCATAGAAGAAAAGATCGTTTACTTCGAGTTTGGTTCCCCATTCCCAGAAGACATAATTTTTTTGCTATGATAGGTAGAGGTCTCAACGCTTGTCTTATTTATGAAACTTTGCAAAATATTCAGAGGTTTCTGGAGGTTCGGGTATGTATTTAAGGGAAATTTTGAAGAAAGTACGCTTGCGTATACCCAATTGTCACGCATCTTGAAAATGTGGACAATTCTCGCGCGAGATGCGGTAACCAAGCCATATAGAGCTTTGGGTAGTAGCTAAGAGAGAGAGAAAACTTTAATGGAGCCTTCTCCACATATTTTCATTAAGAGTTCGGCTGGAAGCGAGCGTCAGTCTTGAAGCCAGCGGCTCGTGACATCACCGCCGTTCAAGAATCGCAATGCATTAGTCAAAGATGCACAGGAATAGGTTCCTGTAACTTGTACTACAGTTTCAGTGTAAAAAAGAGCAAATTTTGTGTCGGATTCAAGGTGGGAGAGCCACTGATTCACCGATCCATATCAAAGTTTTCCACATGTCGCTAATTTTCGACCATGTCTAGATGACGTTTTAACCGAAAATGTCTTTTATGAACACCTGAAATATACTTACTCCAACTCAAGATTGTGCTTGGCGACTTAAACACCGAAAGCTCTCAGCCAGATCGAGCACGTAATAGATGGACGACAAGTCCCCAATCTTCTTGCCATGCGTACACTCCGAAGACCCAATATCGACTGGAGCCATTGTCTTATAGCGGCAAAGATATGCGCCCGTCTCTGTGTTGTAAAGAGTACCGCCAAGAAGCACAATAAAGGATCGAGACCGAAAAAATGCAATCAAAACAGACTGCCAAACGGTTTTCTACTCGACTCTCCCACCTGCTCTCTGAGAGCAGTCATCAGCAACTCGATATAAGGGACATTTCAAGCACCCTTAGTTCACCTACCCTGTTTGGGAGAGATATCGAGAGCTTGAGAAACCGTGAGGTGACTTACAGAAGGCTTGAAGAACAGAGAAAACTAATTTAGGTTCAATTCAATTCGAGTAATAGATTTAAATGATTATCTTTTACACCATAGTCGACATGCATATATGTGTAGGTATGTAAGACAATGGATTATAATTAATATAAGATCACAATCCCCATCACGTGTTAAGCACATTTGTTTGTAAACATTTTATATAATTACTCATTACATTTTGTCTATTCTATTTTTACTCAAACTACAACTACGCCTACAATCTGATTAAAAATTCATTAAATTACAAGCTTACTTTGCATAGGAGAGAGGTAGGAGAGTGTAGACATTCTACAATGCCGAATGGGGGCAAGTTGCGGCTGAGCGAACTATTCACTGCGCCATAATGACAATGTACGACGATCATGATCATGGTTATTTGAGTACATTAATCTGCATGCGGGAATTGAATGCCATAAATATGTATGTGTGTGTGTATGTGAAGGTGTGTTCGAAAATGGGGTGTAAATGCACTCGGTTAACGTAGATAGTTCATTAATATTAATGAGGAACCGAACAGCAAGGTAATCGCTGCCAAGTTGTAATTGAATTATTGGTCTATATTAAGAGCTATATACGATACTTGATCAGCGCTAGAGATCGTAGATCAAAACTCCAGCTTCAATTACGTTTTATAGGGCGAGAAAACTTGTACCAGAGTTCAGGGGGCAGAATAAATTAAAGAGCTTTCAGCTAAGAAGATGGAAGGGTACCATGAAGCTTATGCTTCCACCACATCTTCTGGCGATTGCCGTCGAACTTATTATTACGCATAATGGTACTGACAGACGACACTATTAATGCGCATTAACACCCAAATGTACATCAGCTTTCTTTAAATTTATGTGAATGGTTCAAGCAAGCGGAGCTCACAATGGAAAACCTTTTTTAAAACCAAATAAAAACTCTTTCGACTTACCCAAAATTATTATTACGTATAATAATACTGACAGAGAACACTATTAATGCGCATTAAGTGCCAAATACGCATAATTTTCCATTAAATTCATATAATTTTAGTTCTAACTAACTCAGATGTGTTTCAGGTGTGAAAAGAGATTACGCATATATCTCCTGATACACGACAACGTGCACCCATCACAGTAATAGCACTGTGACGCACGCCTTATCAAAATCCATTAATACCATTTACCATTTACATAATTGTAATTAATTAAACGGTAGCAAGTTCAGAAAAAAACTTGAATAAATACGTATACTTATGTATTGTCCATATGTGTGACATTCATATGTATGTCCTATAATCGCACTCACATACACATGTAGATATTTATAGAGAATTGAAAAGTCAATTGATAAGAGGCATTGTAATTCAAATGAAGTTCAAGTTCCGATGCTGCTACATACATATGTACGTATGTATTTGTTGATCTTTGAACTAATGTGTTCAAATGCAGGCCATAGATGAAGCGTGGAAAATGAAATGCGTAGTTTGTTATAAGAAACAATGATAACAAATGTTTGAGATCACTTTAACTTTATATGTACGAGTATGTATGCACAATATGCATATACATATAGAGGCTAATCTTACGTAGAATATCTTCTTTTTAATTTCTAAAATTTATATGTACATATATTTAAAATGTAGTATATAGTATATAGTAGTATATAGTATACATATATATAGTATATATTACTATATTTTTTTCTCAAATATATTTGTTTATCTTATCAGCTGCGAAGTGTGACATACTTAAGCTATTATTAATTGCTCTTCAAATGCGTCAATATGGGACCCCACTTAACTGATATTGTTTTTGATCGCCAATTTTTATTTTATTCCAAATAAAATTGTTTCTTATGAATTTAATTTAATAACACACGTCGTGCTGGCTGTCATGGAAGTGTCTTTAAACATTATTTTCCTATTTTTCCAAACATAAGCGGTAACACCTGTTGGTTTAAATTCAATTTATGTACAGTTATATATGTGTCAGAAAACCTTTATGAATGTAACAAAAAAATTTTATTTATCATATGTATATATGTACATACGTACATATTTAAAAAACATTTCTCAATTTGTAAGTTTTTTCAATTTTTTTAAATTTTATTTTGTCTCAAAGTCGACCAATATCCATCAAAAATAAAAGTCACACATATCTACACGTACACACTGTTTGCATATGCTCACATTTAAGAATGTATATATACATATGTTTGTGCTAGTTTTGTTTTTGTTGTAGTTTTCTATTTATGTTTATGTATACACACATGATAAGAGATTTTACCGGTTGTTTTTGTTGCTTTATTTTGGCTAGTTGGCTTATTTTTGTTGATATTAGCCTGACTTTTATTGTTGTTGTACTGTTAAAATTATAAGAGTATCTGATAGTGCATATAATTGGAAAAATTAATATTTTTGATTTTTTCTAACTAAATAATGAAGTGTTACAAGCTTTTGTAATAATTAGTTTTATTATTCTTCTTCTGTTTTATTTTATTTTATTTAATTTCATTTTTTATTTAATTTTATTTTTGCTCTTTTTTATTTTATTTTATTTTATTTTAGTTTGTTTTCTAATGTTATTTTATTTTAGTTTAATTTAATGTATTGAATCGCATTTCCTTCATTTTATCGGTGTACAACTTTGCTTCCGCCGTTTTCCGATAGGTGGCTGCACCGGCTGAGGTTGGTTGAAATACATAGATGATAATGCCTTTAAAGTGAGTGTGGACAGTGCCTAACGAATTATCATCGCCGTTTCAGTGACAGTTGTTCTTGTTTTCGTATTATTCACGCTCGAAAATGTCCGTTATGTGCCTAATTCTCGCCATTTGCGGGAAGTTTTACTTTTCTGTTACGATTCGAAAAAAAATGCAGCTGAAGCGCATCGAATCTGAGTGAAAGAACGTGTCGGGAGTGGTTTCAGCGTTTTAAAAATGGTGATTTCGATGGCGAAGACAAACATGGTGGTTATGATTTGTATTTGGTGGGATCTGCTCGGTGTGATTTACTAAGAGCTCTTAAAACCGGGTGTAACCATCACAGGAGATCGCTACTGAACGCGCATTAAATAAAAGCGGCCACAATATCAAGAGCGACATGACAAAGTCATCCTCCAACACGACAATGCTCGGCCTCACGTCGCAAAAGTGGTCAAAAAGTACCTGGAAACGCTGAAATGGGAAGTCTTACCCCACCCGCTGTGTTCCCCAGATGTCGCCCCTTCTGACTTCCAGCTATTCCGTTCGATGGCACACGGCCTGGCACATCAACATTTTCAATCCTTCGAAGAATTGGAAAAATGGATTGCTTCATGGATAGCGTCAAAAAAAGAACTCCTTTTTTCGAGCCGGGATCCGAGAATTGCCGGAAAGATGGGAGCAAGTTGTCGCTAGCGCAGGACAATATTTTGAATAATATATCTGTAATCTGTTGTTATTTTTCGGAATGAAGCTTTTAATTTTGGAAAAAAAACGGCGGAAGCAAAGTTGTACACCGATTATTTTTGTTTCGTTTTTAATTTTATTTTATGTACATTAATTATATTTTATTTGACTTTATTTAATATAATTTTATTTATTTTTTTGTTTTTTATATTCATTTTATTTAAATTAAATTTAATTTATTGCATATTTTTTATTTTGTTTTATTTTAATCTATTTCATTTATTATATTATATTTTATTTTATTTAATTTCATGTCATTTCTATTTTAGTTTATTTTTTAAAATTTTTTTATTTACAATTGATTAATTATTATTTTTAAATTTTTAATAACGCTATATTATATTTTATTACAATATTTTTTTATTTTGCCTTTTATACATTTTATTGCATATTTTTTCCCATGTTGGATATATTTTATTTTTATTATTAGTTTATTTTATTTTCCTTTGAAACACATTCACCATTCTTTAAACTCACCCAAGGAATTTTTGGACATCATTATGAGTCTTTGCAATCACTGTAACAATCCTACCAATAAAAAATTTTCTCCAATAAAAATCGCCGCTGATTTCCACCGTTTTAAATACTTTTTACCGTTGCGCCTTTCAATTAATGCTAATTTATGTTAATTTTCCAAATGTCAATGCATTCGCGGGTCCACTTTCGTTCAAAGGAAAAAAGAACACTCTCACTTGTTTTAGTTCCAATTTTATGCAATGAAAAACAAAACAGCCTACTGCCCATTTGCATATGAACTTTCAAGTGAACCGCACAAACAGTTCAATGGCACTGCAGCTAATATATGGCAACCAAAAACGTTTACAACTATTAGAGTGATTCACAAGTGAACTGCTCCAAACGGTGACAACAACGCAACTAAAAAATTGATTTCATTGAAAACCGTTTGGAAGTCAAGCGGCGCACAAAAGCTTGCAACAGACGGCCCAACGATCGCCGACTTCAACTGCTGCAATCCCATAACCAAATGTCCAAACAAACCACTATTGCTGGCGCGGATACTGGCTACGTTGGCGTCGACGTTGGCGTTGCTGTCGGCGTCGTCAATACACCTATTTCGGGCGGTTTGCTGCCAGGAACGCGATAAAGGTGAAATCTTTGAAATGCATTAAGATTCTACAATTGATAAAATACATACATACATACATACATGTATGCCTACGTCTACTTAGATGTGTCTGTGTGTGTACTTTTAGGCGCACATTCCTACAAGTGTGCGTCTGCCGGTCGCGAGTTATAACCACATACACGGAAAAATATTTTGATAGGCGCCTCGCTAGATCGCAGTATGTATGTATGTATGTAAGATAGTTTAGTGTAGAATTACGCTGCGGTCGCGTGCTCGTGTGCCATACAGGGTCTCTGTGGGTGATACAGTAATGAATGATAACGATGATAATGTGATTTAAATTGATTAAATTAGACGAATACGGATTTTAAACGAACAAAAACAATGCTATGCAGAAGTGGCCTTGAAATTTGAAGAACTAATGGACCAAAAAGACATGAGTTAGGCTTAGGTCTTTCAGGGAAATAAAAGAAATAAATTAAATAAAATTAAATAAAAAAATTAAAATCAAATGAAATAAAATAAATTACAATAGAATGAAATGAAAAAAATAAAATAAAATAAAAAAAAAATGCAGAAACATAAAATAAAATAAAATGAAGTAAAATAAAGAAATATGAAAATAAATTAAACTAAACAAAATTAAAAAACTAAATATATTAAATTTAAGAAAATAAAATATTGACGAGTGCATAAGTTCGTGCCCGATTTCAAGTGCAAACTAAAATTGAAATTTTTTGAAGAAAGCGCTTTTATTAATCAATTATGTATTCGCCATCATGTTCAGCAATCCACCCCAACATTCAACCAATTTACGGATGCCTAATTCATAGAAATCGCACGACTTCTCGTTGAAAAAGGTGTCAAGGTGGTTTTTGACGTCTTCCACAATTTTAAATTCTTTTCCATTCAAATTGATCTGCAGCGATCGAAACAAATGATAATCAGAAGGTGCAATGACGGATGAAAATGGGGGATGCGGCATGATTTCCCAATTCATCTCCTTCAGTTTGGCCAGGGTCGGTTTTGCAACATATGGCCTGGCGTTGTCATGATGGAAAAGAACTCCTTTGCGATTGGCCAAAATCGGACGTTTTTCATCAATTGCTTTCTTCAATTCGACCAATTGCTGACAATACTTGTTGGCAGTGATAGTTTCTCAAAATAGATCACGCCTCGGATATCCCACCAAATGCACAGCAGTACCTTCATCGGATGCAATCCACCTTTCGACATCGATTCCGCCCCCTTGGTGTGCCTGTTTCCATGTTCTTTTGCGTTGAACATTGTTGTACAAGATCCATTTTTCATCACCAGTCACGAGCCGATTCAAAAAAGGTTCGTTTTTGATCCGTCGAAGCAAAGAAATTGCTGTTGACATACGGTCCACTTTGTTTTTTTCACTCAACTGATGTGGCACCTATGTATCGAGCTTCAAAGTGTACCCAACCTTTTTTAAACGACGAAACGCAGTTGATTTGTCGACGTTCAATTCACTGGCAATCTCTTCCGTCGAAATACGTGAGTTATTCGCAACTAAAGTCTTTAGAACATCGTCATCAAGCTCAGAAGGCCGTCACTGCGAGGTTGATCTTCGAGGTTAAGGTCTCCAGAACGAAATTTCGCGAACCATTTCTTTACTGTGCGGAGTGCTGGAGCACGGTCCAAATAAACTTCGCGAATATCTTTAGTTGCAGCGCCTACTTTTTTTCATTTGTGGAACTCGTATAACATAATATGACGCATATGATCTTTTTCGTTGTCCATCTACCATGCGTCTTTTCACTAAGCAACTCAAACCAAAATGAAGTTTTTTTATGCTTCGGACTGTCACCTTTCCAACGATATATAATATGTATATATTTCTTTCACGAGCGCCACTCTCAAACTATTCGAATGGCATCTAGCGGAATCGGGCACGAACTTATGCACTCATCAATAAAATTAAATGAAATGAACATAAAATAAAATTAGTAAAAATTAAATTAAGTTAAATAAATTAGGATAAAATAAAAAAAAAAAACAAAATAAAATAAAATTAAAAAAATTAAATAAAAAAAGTTGAATAAAATTAAATAAAAAAAGTATAATAAAGTAAAATGAACGTTAACACAATAAAATTAAATTAAACGAAATGAAATAAAATAAAATAAAATAGAAATAAATTAAGATAAAATAAAAGAAAAAAAACAAAATAAAATGAAATATAATAAAATAAAATAAAATTAAAAAAATTAAATAAAAAAAGTATAATAAAATAAAATGAACTTTAACAAAATAAAATTAAATTAAACGAAATGAAATGAAATAAAATAAAATAAAATAAAATCAAATAGCATTTATTAAAAAAAAAACAAAATCCTATTAAATTAAATGATTAAATAAATAAAAATAAAATAAAGTAAAATTAATTAAATAAATAATCAGTTAATTATTTTCCCTCACCCTATAAGTAACTACGCATATAAATAAGTATTTGTCTACTTTCAAATAGTCTATGTTTAGCTCATATTTGCATATAAAGAAAAATAAATAACAAACAAACATAACCCACGCTCAAGCCAACAACTCGTAGCTGCATTTGTTATTACAGTTGCAACTACGATTAACTCTTGCTCCTCCTTGGCGCGCACACCCGCACACACACATACACACACACTCTTTCCCCAAGTCAATGCGATTTGGAAACCAGTTACTTGTGCGTAGATTGGAAAATCCAATTTTAGCCACAATTCAACGTTCATTGTACGCAATTTAAATTGTAGCATACTCGTACATACATATGTATATACGTAGAACTACATACATATATGTGCATGTACTGCGTAAATTTGTATAATGTTTATATATTTATTTTTATGTGGTCTCCACTGAAGATTGGTTGAGTCTTGTTAGGAAGGTTTTTTTTCAAAATAAATATATGTACGTGTATAAAAAATGAAACACTTACTTTTGCAAGTTTCGAACTTGAATTCGTTTTTATTTATTTATTTTTTATACATGTTTCTTTATTTTTATATTATTTTATTTGTTACACTTAAAGGTTTATTTATTTATGATAAAAATATTTTGTGACCAAAAATGTATAAAATATCCGAAGCGTCAGGGGAAGGAACTGAAGTGAGAAGTGTGAAAGCTTTTTTTTCTCTAATAATTAAAACAAAACTTAAGAAATAAAATAAATAAAGCTTAAAAAAAAACAATATGTAAATAAATTAAAATTTAAAATTAAAATAATGTGAATTAATCACATATAAAATAAAGAAAAGAATTAAAAAAGCAGACAATTAGCAGTAAAATAAATTTTCTGCGTCTAAAATTTCCCAAAAAAAAAACCATATAAATCCAACTAAGTTGGAAAAAATAACATATTTTTAGGCACTCAAGCACTGTTAAACACAAAACATACATGTTCGAACAAAAAACGAATTTTCAGCTATACAAATTAAATCATAAAGCAGTTCTAAAAGAGTATAAGAAATTGTAATCTCCTTCTAGGCGCACAAGCAAGGTACTTTCAAAACATCCCAATAACTATCCAAACATATTGGCTTTTTAATACATTTTTAGCACTAAACCCGTTTTATCTAAGTGGATTGGTAGCCCCAAATAGGAAACGCGTGATAGACTGTAGTCTACTTTGAGGCGATAAAGCAATTAATTTCAAATGTAACTAATGCTTCAACTATTATTAGGAAGATGTTGTTTATTTGCTTGTTTCACAAAAAAAAAAGTTTTTGTAACTGCTTGGTGTTGCTTAACTCATATTTTCCCATAAATTTAATTTTTTTAATTTAATTTTTCTAAATCAGTGCAAATTACATATATTCTGAATTTTCTGTGTCATATATCATTGAATAGAACTTTAGAAGTGCTTAATGGGAGAAAACAATGAACTTATACAAAGCGGCTTTTCACTAAAAAAAAAAATAATAATTGATATTTGAGTTTTAGCGGTGCAGTTGTTGCTGTAACTGATAATATATGCATGTATGTGTAGATATTTGCTTTATTTTACAAGTCAATATTTAGTTGTTTTACGCTACTTTAGCTCTAACAACCCATTTTAACACTATTTTCTTCTTTCCTGTTTAACGTTCTAAATCTTATGCAATTAATAGTTGTTATTGTAGCTGTTACACTCGTTAATATGAATATCCCTTGTGTATATATTCGTTTGCGCGTTAAAGTATGTATGTACGTACGTAAGTTGTTTTTTCAACCTATTTTTTTTGCAGCAAAAAAAAATAATAATTTTAATGGAATTGAATTTAAGCAGCGAAGTGTTGTGTTCGAGAAATTATCAAAGGGCAAAAATTATAGCATAAATAGTGAAGCAGTATTATAACAAATTTTGGGTATTTATGTGTGTATATTTTATATAATGTAAGTATTTAGTGAACATTTTTGTTTCTTTATACTCTTTTTATCAGAGTTTTGTGTTTGCAACTTCTTTCTTTGAATTCTCTTTTGCATTAAGTTAACCGCAGAGTTCATAGTTAGGCATTAATGATTATGTATTATATTTTATATAATGTATAGTTGAGTTGAACGATTCGAATTTGTGGCCAAACGAATATTACATATGCAAGTATTTATTTTTATTTAAATTTTCTTTTTTCATAGTAAAATTTTCAACCAAAACAAATCTGCATACACGTTTATAGTGTAGGTCCGAAAACAAATCTGTATACACGATTACAGTGTAGGTCCATCCGAATAGTCTTCGTAATCATCACAATCGTCTAGAAAATCTGAAAATAAATCTGGACTGACATCGCAGCCAAAGCGTGTTTCCGAATTCTCAATTTCAGCAGCCATTTGCCGTAAATTATCCACACCAGCGAGAAGTTGCCTATAAATGATATTTCGGACATTTACAATTGGCATAAGTGATTCTCTAAATTAGCTTGTGATTTACCTCAGGTTACCCTCCGCATTTGATGCAGCTCTCAGCAAATCACGCGAGAATTGTTGTGTTCTGAACGGTCTACCCACAGCACCACGCATTCCTGCGCCATCGGCCGCATTGCCGCCACCAGCGTCCGTTCCAAATGGACGTGGACGATCACAGTGCGATACATTGAAGCCGCCAACAGCACCCTCTTCTCGAAGTGCCTCATTTTCACGACGCAATGCCTCCAATTCAGTCTTTAAAATTAAAGAATTTAATTAATAATATAGATGTGTATAACTTAGCTAAATTGTACTTACCGTTAATTGCGTCACCTGCTGTTTTAGTTTCCTAACGTAATTTTGTGGCCCAGCTCCCGCTGTTGCCGTTGTTGTTCGCGTACGTTTACTTCTATCTGCTAAGCCTTCAACGCTTTCAGCTGTAGCCACCTCTTCAGGCATTTGTTGTTGTTGTTGTTGTTGCTGCTGCTTTAATTCATATGTCTGTAACTTTCGTTCCAATTCATTAGCGCGCCTCGTTTGCTCATTCAATTCCATGCGCGCATCATTTAATTCCCTCTGCAAACGTTCGTTTTCAATTCGAAGTCTCGATAGTTGCGACGTAATCGGGGGATCATCTGGTGAGCCGATAGAATTGGACGGCAAGCCGACAGCAACATCAGCCAACCGCTGTGAAGAGTGTATTATCGGCCCATCAGAGAGGAAATCTGGCAGCATTTTTGCATTACTAGCGGTGGCTTCAGCTGTTGCACCTCCACCGCCCGCCCCACCATATGCATGCGAGGGCCCGGGAATGCCTATGCCACCGCTTACACCATTTCCGCCAGCCACGTCACATACACTGCCATTAAGGCCTCCACTACCACCACCATTGCCACCAATCGCACCGCCGGTCACGTCAATATTGCTAAAATCACGTATGGGTGAGTTTGGCGGGGAATTGAGATGCATATCGTGCGCATACCATGAGTCAAGCCAGTGATCTTGCACAAAATCGGGTAAAACAGCCGCAGGGAATTCACCAGCATTGCTAGGTAGTGGACGGGTAACCGGTGGCGCCGTGCCCACTGGAGCACCGCCGCAAGCGCCGCTATTCAAATCACTAAGTGGTAAATTACCTTTCGATTTGGACGTATTTGTATTTAAGGCAAGACGTGTAGGACGTGCTTCCCTCATGCCGCCAGTACCACCGGCACCCACACTACTAGGTGCACCTGTACGTCGACGTGGCGATGCCGATGAGGACGACATGGGCATTTCATAATTTGAGTAAGAGCGAGGCACATATTGGTTACGGCCGTATTCGCCCGTGTTGTTTGTACTGCTTCCAGGGCCAGTACCGCCATCGCCCATACCGCGACTAACGCGTGAGGTTGTCGATAAAATATCTGTATAACATACACAAGTAACAATAACCTTAAAAATACTATAATAGTAGGAGTAATTACCTCTAGGCTGTGGATTGAGTCGAAAACCAGAGCTTGCATTTGCACCAACACCTACTCCTCTCACGCCACTTATTCCCGTGCTACTGACTCCATTAGCTTCCTCATCTGCGCCAACTGTTACGTACTCCACAAGACTTGCTTGGGAGTCGAAGGAGGAAAATCTTGGAGAACGTTTCATTTTTGTGGCTGATGTGCTAAAAGAATTCCCCCCATCATGTTGGCCACCAGTATTTGTTGTCGATAAGCCACTGCTGCTACCAGCAGTCATTAGTGAGGATATGGACGTACTTGAGAGAGACGCGGACTGAGGAACTTTTGGCCGGGCGCCAGTTGAAGCTTGAACCGTTGTACTGCCACTGCAAGATGCGGATGTGTTATTGTTTTGTGTACCATTTGTGTTATTGCTAGCTGTGGTATCCAATGAAGTGACTGTGACTGTACTTGAAGGTGCTGTAATGGGCGGCCCGCTGCTCAGGAAATGTTTAAATGAAAATGAAGACGAATTTTGTGTGGGCGCTACATATGGTTGAGACACATGTTGGTTAGATATACTGCTGCTTACTGGCTCCCAAGTTGATGTAACATTTTTCTGTAACATTGCAGCTTAAAACGAAAAATAATAAATTGTTAATGAAACAAACTAGCTATACCCGTCACCACTTACTTTCTTCATGTGCGTTTACACCACTGTTATCTGAACGGCTATGCGTGTAATCACCATAACCATCATAGTTATCACTATCATCTATGGGGCCGTTTACACAGAGATCAGCTACCAAGTCATTGAGTTTGCCACACATAAAATTCGTAGTGGAAGTCGGAAAGTGATTGTTTCTGGAACTAGTACCGACCCAATCGCCACCTGCACTGTTTACGGTACTCTTGTCGCCCGTACTGACAATATCACCTGTCCTATCCTCCATCTCAAAATCGCTTAGAGCAATTCGGGGTTCTGTTGGATTCGAAGTCGACGTGACACCCACACTTGCTGCAAGGGCATCCATGCCGTTATTGTTGCTGCTGTTACTACTATTACTATTGTTGTTATTATGTTGCACCTGATCGTTTTCCTTTGCCATGATTCCTTTTTGTATGGTGCACTTCTGATTTTTGTTTTTATTGTTGTCGTTGCTGGTGCTACGTTACTTGCCGCAGTACCTGTCTGAAGTTTTTTTCGTCTATTCGGTTGCAGTGGTATTTTTTCTTTGTTTAATTTCTCTTACCACTATATTCACTTATTGCACTTTTACCTGCTTTGCTCTGTACATAGATGCTATAATGATAGAAATTTCCACAGCTGCACAGTTACCATAAACGAAAAAATTGCAATATAATTTGTTTCTTTTCAAAAGTTTACAGAAAATTTCAAGAATTGTTAATTTTCCCCAATCTGAAAGGCCCTTCACCTAGAGGTACCAGACTTGTGTAAAATGTTTTTCCAGCACAGGATTTTCAAAATTATTGTGAATGGTCATGGTCATCGATCTTATCGTAAAATTAACTTTTGATTGATTCCAACGAACATATGTGAGTATACGTTCTTTGATGGTTCTAAGCCCAAACCAAAGAACGCATAATAATTATAATAATATAAATATTAATAATTAATATACGTTCTTTGTTATTAATATACTTTTCTTGGCTTTTGCTAATCGAGAGAGGGTACAAGATCAATTATTGTCCGAATTTCTATATAATTTTTCCCCATACGTTCCTTGCCAAGCTTAAAAAAACAAAGAACGTTCCTTGACGTATATTAACACATGCTCTATCTAAGCGGAAAAAAATCTCCTATTTTTCAAATTAAATTCCAGTGGTCAAAGTAGACAAGTTACTCCATTGTGACTCTGACGATGTAAAGAAGAATAAAGTAAACAAGACCAGCTGTTTGCTAGAATTGAAAATACACAAATATTAATTATTTCATTTTACGATTATTTAAGAAAAAATGGAAGCTGCACACTACACCCCTCCAGTAGATGAGCTTCTGCCAGAGCGAGAGATATCGTGCACATATTCGGGTTGTGGATCGATTTTTAAAAATGTTGGTAATCTAGATATGCACATGAAACGACATCATGGCGTGGAACCATTGAAAAAGTTTAACTTCGACGGAGCTCACTACTTCTTCCATTGTCCAAAAGTGCAGTGCGCCTATCACGAAAAACATGTAGCTAAAATGTATTTCAAATCATTAAAATACCTACGCCAACATTTTAAAAAAGTGCACATGGCCAAAACAATTGTGTGTGATCGCTGCGGCAAAGCTTTTATCAGCGCAGGTCAATTGAAGGTACATACTGAAAAACTGTGCGGCGTTTTATTTACTTGCAATGAGTGCGGATGGAATTACAATAGTAAGGAAGCGTTGTTAACGCACGGCAAACGAAAAGGGCATAATGTAAGAGATTATCAATTAATAAAAATAAAACATCCAAAAATTGAAGCAGAAAATAAAAGCAATGATCGTGAAACACAAACAGAAGGTAAGGAAATTTGTAAATTTAAAACAAAGGTAATTCTTAAATGAATATTATTTTTTTCATTACATTAGAACTCGTAATAAAACCTGTTGAAAAGATCGTCAGTACATCAACTAATGTAAAAGAAAGCAATATGTCACCTGTACGAGATGTATCAACGAACACGCATTCGAAAACAGAAATTCCATTACCTCGTCACATAGAAACCCAAACAGACAGCCTATTGATTGACTCATCACATCATACTACATTAAATAGTCTAAATGTCCCAATAGACAACACACTGAACAGTGGACCATTGCTACCACCTTCTAATCACACATACACACAAACATATGATGACCTCTTCACCGACTCTTTGCTTTGTTTTTCTGATATTCAAACGCAAACAAATTGGTCCAGTTTTCCTGACGCTGTAACTGATTCCCCAACCGTTGAAGAAATTTCTAGGCATCCATATAACGCACATAATATAGGCACATGTACACGTTGTGCCTCTGATGAATTGTTGGTATCCACGGAAACACAAACTAGTTTCACCCAATGCTTACTTGAATCGCGCACAGCTAACGGCGATACTGAGGTTGGCAACTTTAGTAATCTTTATCAAACACAGCATACTCAAACCTGCGACATGTTGCTAGGTGCACTATTTGGTGCACAGGAAAGTGATCTTATTGGTGGTTTTCAGTCAACTTATACGCAAACATGATGGTTTGACTTGGACTTACATGCCTTTGGCGAAGGAGATGAGGGAGGAAGCTAGTAGGAAAAAGAATTCTGAAACTTTTGGATCGTTTAGGACGTAATATTTAAATTAAAAAAATTTTTGTCTAAAACTTCACTTAATTATTTAAAATATTTCTAGTTCATATTTCAAATAATATACATATATGTATTTGCATCCAAGTTGTGCCCTGTTTTTAATTTTTTATTTAAAGCTATTTTGTAAGAGATTTTAAACGGCTAGTTTACATATGCTATTACTGACCTAACTTCGCCTTTCTTTTCATTGACATTCGTGTCTGAACGAACAAACCTCTGACAGAGAATGTAAATTCTCTGTCTCTGTCTGAAATGAAAAGGATGAACGCCACATAGAGAAATGCATAAACAAAACAAACAGCGGTGTGTAGTAAAGTGATAAAAAATATACAGAAAACTCGTCGTGAGGCTGGAAATTGCAATTCGACAAAAAATAAATTTCAGTTTATGCATTTTCCAGGTAGAAAAATAAAATCAGCACTTTTGTGAAAGAGTAGTGGACAAACATATGCGCTACGCTTTATTGCGTGCTGCTACGTCGGGCGTAATAGTTTTTCGTATGCAGCTTAGTGTTTGTGTGCATGTGTAAAAGGGGAGGGAATTGGTTTGTAAAATTTGACTGTGAAGAAAGTTACCGTCGTCGCCAACCAAATTGGACAAATACTATACATATATTTTACACACATGAGATAAATAAACTAGTGGAAATTTTTTTATTTGTGTAAAACAAAAGAAAACTCATATGCCAAATATTGAAAAACAAAAACTAAAAATATTTACATACTAAATCACAAAATTATAGGCCAGTTGCAACATACTGAAAGGTAGCGTCTGCCAGGTAAAAAGCAGCGTAGCAATACGGCAGAGTGAAAATCGCTGATATTACGGAATAATATGGAGCACATAATAATAAAAATACGAAAAAATAATACATAAAGACGGGTGAGGTCAAATTGGGTGGTTTGACTTCTCGTACGCACAATCGTTTAAAACGCAGTCAGGCAGTCTGCCACATATGTATATGAGTATGTAGGGTGAGGCTGCAGCCAGGTGAGTTTAAGCGTTTTTCATTTGGTTTACATACATACATACACATGTAACATATCGTAAAATTTCAGTGATATTAACAAACAAAACGTTGGTCAGTAAAAAATTCTACTTCAGAATACATCAAAAAAAAAGAAAAGAAAAGAAAGCAGTGATTATTGACTATATCCTGTTTGTGCTACGACAACAATGGTGAAAGGTGATTTCTAATAAAAATACATATTTTTTGCCTAGCCGTTTTGATTGCCATATTCTACTGTATTTACTTTAGTGTTTCTAACGCAGCGTAGGAAATTGGCCGATGCAGAATGTGCGGCGGTAAAATCATTATCCTGTAATCCAATATGGGTGTGCCGGACATTAATAAAGCATAACTAAGAAATTAACTTCGCAGCGGTAATAGAAGCTCCGATCTACGTATTTCGCAAAACGTTATAAATAATCAAGTTTGAAAGGAAGAGGAAAAGGAGGAAAAAATAAGCTAACAAGCCGGTAATCCATATTTGGCTCACCCCGTACGTTTAGCTTCAAACTGTGGCATACGCATACACTCCACCATATAAAAGGTAAAAATCAATTTTTTTGTTTTTGTTGTGGACGTTTTTTTTTTATTGGTATTTTCAAAGCGCTGGCCAACACGTTAAGGAGTGATGATATGTTGGGCTCATGAATCGTTGTAGTAGTGAATTTCGCTATGATCAGCGGGGTATATAGTAACGTACGTTGTCTTGCATTCATTTATTTTCATTTCACAAATAAATCGAATCAGAACTTAATAACTTGGTTTCTTATGAGTGGATCAAGTTTGGGATGTATGGGAACGTGTACATACACACGTAGAAATATTCATGCATCTATACATATAAAATATTATTAGAATTTAAATGAAATAAAATTAGACACCGTTGAGAAGGAAATTATAGCAAAAGAAGCATACTTAGAAGACACGATTTACTAATTAGTAATATAAAAATCAGTTTGGAGTGATATAATCTTGATATAATCTTCTATTGATTAGTTATTCTTTTTATCTCAACAACTTACTAAAATAATGTTTTCTTTTTTACAGGTCCACCTTTTGACTACCTTGCACCCTGAATGCGTTTTAATTGCCACCTTAGCTCAGCGTATCGCCACGCAACATTAAACGGCGGATCAAACACAATTAATTCGATATCTTGCAGCAACTATATTGCCAATGCCGAATAACGTTTTAAAAAATAGCAGCAGCGCTAGCGCCAGCAGCACCAGTAATGGGCGCAGTAGTAGCAGCAACAATAGTAGTAGCAGCAGTAGTGCCAATGCGAATCAAGCAAAGTCAATTAATAGCCATAAAAATGAGGCAAAAGCCTTGTCTGTCTCGTCGACCACATCTACTTTTGTAGCATCGTCTAACACACTGCCAGAGAAAAATGTTATGAATAAACAATCTAACAACAACGAACGAATTGCTTCACATCGTCGCGATGGTTCCAGTATTACTGGGATACAGCGGCCATTATTTCGTAAGCTACAATATATAAGTCCGCAGACGCATTTTTGCTACGCTACTTCTTCACCAACCCATACCTTCGAAGATGCCACACGACCGCTACAACATCAACATCAACATCAACAACAACAACAAGATGTCACACAAAATGAAAGCCGCAGCGATGTATTGGTGTATACCGAAGATGGACATTTGGTTTCAGCTAGTTTGGAAGCGCTAATCACACATATGGTTCCCACAAGTGATTACTATCCCGAACAAAATTTTATATTCGCATTTTTACTCAGCGCACGTTTATTTGTGCGACCACATGAGCTACTCGCGCAGATATCGCAAACTTGGGAACGTCAACAGCAAAAGCAGCAGGAGCTGCATAATCAGCAACAAGGTATGGATGTAGTCGATGAGGCGCATTTCAGCCATTTAGCTGTAGCGGCTTCTGCATCACCGCTTATGCAACGAAAGGCTGCAAACAGTAGCATCGGCATGCCACTTACAGTTGCTCACAATGAGGTAAATGTAATTGTAGAAGGACACCTGAAGCAACGTACCGCCATACAGCTGAGTGCACAAAATTGCATACGTTTATTAGCCGAATGGATTGAGACGTTCCCGTATGATTTTCGGGATGAACGCTTAATGCAACAAGTGCGTATTTTAGCGCGCAAATGTGTCTATATTGACAATGCACTCGGCAGGCGAGTGTCAAGAATCTTACAACTACTAGTGCACCGTCTTACAGTGCTAGAGCAATATGAGGCGACATTACAAGCGATGGCAGCTACCGATCTCACGGCAAGTAACAGTCAGCAACACCTGCCGCACTACAGTACTTCAGCAGCAGCAGCAGCAACAGCAGCCACAAATCAAAACAGTACACACAATTCGCTGGTGGGCTGCGTAAAAAGTCATACACTTCACACCAGCAGCCTAACAGAGGCACACAAACCTACCACAATCACGAACAATTCGAACTCCTTGGGTTCTGTGGCAGTGGCAGCTGTAGCTGCGGCCATAGATGGTAATAATGCGCATGAGGTACACGGTATCATGGATATTTGTCCGAGTTGTGCGCAGTTAGCGCATCAGTTAACCGCCATCGAGCTGGAGCGACTTTCCCACATTGGACCCGAAGAATTTGTACAAGCTTTTGCAAAAGAATATCAACATAATATTGATGGGAAGTCGTCAACGACAACTACAACGGCTACTGGTAAGAACGCAGCGAACATTGACTCCACAACGCTAAATGATATGAAGAAAACGCGCAACCTCGAATCATATGTGGAGTGGTTTAACCGGCTGAGTTACCTGACTGCATCGGAAATAGTGAAGGTTTGTATGTAACTACGAATGCACCCGTATATAGCTAAATATATGTATATGCGTATACGCGTGCTTATCTTTATGGATGAGCATTTCATTTCGATTGTTTTTGTGACTGGGTTATTTTATTTTTATTTTATTGTAATTCATATTAACAGTACCCGAAGAAGAAGCAGCGTGTACGTATTATCGAATACTGGATAGAGACGGCGCGGGAGTGTTTTAACCTAGGCAACTTTAATAGTTTAATGGCCATTATAGCTGGCTTAAATTTAGCACCCATCTCAAGGCTAAAGAAAACGGTAAGAATACATAGTGGCTAAAACCTTATGCCGTTATCTGCATAAAGGTAATGATGCAATAGTATGCAAAATATTAAAATAGCAATTTGTTTTCTTTTTTAATTGATATTGTAACATTTTATTTGTGTTTATATTTTTAGTGGTCTAAAGTGCAATCTGCAAAATTTTCTGTGCTTGAACATCAAATGGATCCTACATCGAATTTCAATAGTTATCGCTCAACGCTTAAAGCAGCCATGTGGCGTTCAGAGGGCGCTACCGAAGAACGTGAACGCATAATCATTCCATTTTTTAGTTTATTCGTTAAGGATTTGTATTTTTTGAACGAGGGCTGCTCAAACCGGTAAAAGCTGAAAAAAAAAACATTGTCAAAGACGACCTATTTGATTCAATTTTCATTTGCTATCTTTTAAATTACAGTTTGCCAAACAATCATATCAATTTTGAAAAATGCTCACAGCTTGCCAAACAGGTAATGGAGTTCAACGAATGGAAGAAGGTCACTTGTCCATTTGAGCAATTGCCCAATGTGATTGCATATCTGCAGACTAGCAGTGTTTTAAATGAGAACACATTGTCGATGGCATCGTTTGAGTGTGAACCGCCTGAAAATACCGAAGAGAAAGGTCGCTACAAAACGGTTAAAGCAGAAACGAAACAACAATTACTACATCAATTGCAAGAGCAACAACAACAACAACACCAACCATAGTTTATTGCCACATTAATGCAGCAGAGAAAGGATGTTATTTTTGGTAAAATACATACATTGGATGTAGACGAGGGATTAATGGGGCGCAAACTATTTGAGTTTATTTACCCAATATCGCACGCTAATATTGCAATGATTTTCATAAATCGCGCAAAATGTTGTATGAAAATGCATTATCGAAACTAAACCTCTACCCTTATTATGTTAATTTTTGTTTCTAGCATTTGTTGCAGAACGCTTGCCATTTTTTGATACCTACTTTGATATTTTCGAAACGTTTTAAACATATTCTAAGTCTAGTTACATATACTTTTAGTATTTAGTATGACAACAAAACAAAAACGACAACAAATAACCACAAAAATAGTATCATAGAATAGTAAACGGAGCGGCACCTACAAAAAAAAGAGTAAACAAATATTACAAACAAACTACTTGCGAACAATTTTGTGACTTCAAAAGTCTAAACAAAATTATAGCGTACAACAGAAGGAATGAATACACGTTGCCAGTAATTGTACTTAATGCATTTAGTAATTTATGGAATATATACTATAACAAGAAAAAATATAAGGGAATCTCAAATAACACTAAATAAGCAACAACACAAAAAAAATCATAACAAAGTTTCTTTAAGAAATCACATTTAGTTATATAATTTTATTATTATTTTGTGATTATTTTTTTATTATTTTTTTTTTAATATTTTTATTATTTTTTTTTAATATTTTTATAATTTTTTTTTTATAATTATTTTTATTATTGTTTTTATTATTATTTTTTACTATTTTTAGACAAGTAAAAGTGACAAATTTTGTGTTTTATCTACAAAATGATTTAATGTACAACGCTTTGTATTTTTGTAATTCGATAAGGGCTTAATAATTATAAAAGAATGTACACAAAACTCTATGTAAGTTGTAATTGTACTATATACATACATACACACTTGCACATGCATTATTTGTAGCATATATACAAATGTGTACACACATATAATGCATTTGATATTTATTAAAATATTGCGTGTTTCTATTGCTAAGTTGACAGTATTGATATTTACATCTACAATTTACTATTATATAGTTGAATTTGAGATGAGAAGGTTACAGAAAAAAAAATGAAGAAATTTGTAAAGAAAAGGAAAAAATAAAACTCATTGGTTATCTATTGTATTACAATTAAACGAAGTAAAATGCTCACTAGCATTATTTGCATAAAAGAAAAATATAAAAAAAAACAGTATTTACGTTCATAAACATTTTCTTTACACATACATAATACATATACTCGAATTTAAACCGTTTTCAAATTAAAATACACTAAAATTCAATCAGAACAGTAATACATATACATTTTTGAAAGTAACTGCAATTTTATGCAAAAAAAAAAAATTTTTTTTTGACAAAAATTGAATATCAAGCAAAAGTATGAATTGTGGTAGCTATTATGATGCTTTCCTGAATAAGATTATTATTCTAAGCTAAACTTTTTAAACAAAAAATCCAGAAAGAAATAACAGAAAAAACAACAAAAAATTTGTAACTAAAACTCTGAATCTAAAAGCAACAAATAAATTCTACAAAAAAAAACTATTTGCTTTCAAAGAAAAAAGAAATTGGCAATGGGTGTTTTCGTTAATATCACTTGACAAGCTCTTGACTCATATCCTACTTGGTTGTAGTGTTTTTTTTTTTTAATGTATACTAAGTAAGTATAAACAAGTTTTCCTTAATACTTGTTGTACTCACACATATACATATTTATTATATGTATGTCGCCTAACCAGGCCTAATACGTCACTGTAGCAACACCGTAATGTTTACAAAGGACGAAAATGAATTTTGATGCTAGCAATGCCGCACTCCAATTGGCACCTGCGCATTAAGACAACAAAATCTATTACAAACAATTCCAAGCTAACTGGAAAAAGAAAGGCGAATGCATTCACCAAAGCGAAATGAGTAGAAAATCTAATAAGAGCGAGCGTGTTGCAAATTCAAGCAGCACTGCAATTGTCGTACGTTGAAAGAAGACGACCAGCCAACCACTGTCATTGCTTTTGTTGTAGTCGTCGGCTTTTCAGTGAGTGCCAGTTTTTGACATTCTCATTGGAAAAGCGGCAAAAGAAAATCGCAACAATTGGAGGAAAATTGCATTTGGTGACTTCAACCATGACAGACGTTGCTGTCGCAAAAGCATTTTAATTGTCAAAAGTGTTTGAGACGTTGAGCCGAGTGGATGGCAACAGTGCGTCTGTGAATGTAGAACGAACTAATAAATAGAAAAAGGTGGAGAGACAAATCCAATTGGGAAAAAATCAATGAAAAAAGTGGTTTAAATAGCATAAAAATGTGAAAATATTGTATACAAATTGAAATTAAACTGTTAAAAACCTGTTTCCGGTTGGTTGGATAAATAAACAATTTTGCATGCAACAGAAAACTTCAAGTTGTGCTGTAGAAAGAAGCATTGATTTGTTACAAAAGACGCATTGTGAATTCAGGTTTTTGCTTTATTTATTGTAATAACTCCACGCGCAGCATTGCATTGCTCCAATTTCTTCTGACGACATTTCTGTGTGTGCGTGACAATGTAGCGTCATCCAGCGCCCATCAACACCTATTTCGACAGTGAAAGTATTTCCGTGAATGCGACGTGTACTACATTCACTCAGCGCTATTCAAAACTTGCATATACATGCCCATTCACCTATCCATATACATAAGTTTGTATATATGTACATACGTACGTCTTTGCAGTTTCCTAATCGCTTTAGAGCAGCGCTGAGGCGTAAAATCTTGCCACAAGTGCAGCGTCGCCAGTAGCGGCGACGTTAGATGCACACGAAAGCATTGTTTTTGCAACAGCTTATGAGACGGTATGTGCAAGTTTTACTTTGATTTTTATTATTGTTGTCGCAGCGTCACCTCTTACGCGTCCTTGAATTGACGATTGGCGCCAGGGACTTTTGCGGCCATTGGATTTGGTGAAAGAAAGACTTTTTCCGCCGGAAACAGTCGAATATGCAATGAAGCGTTTGCTTTCAAGCAAAAGCAAAAACAAACAAAACCAATAATGCGCTTTTCCTAAGAACAGTGCTGCCAACTTCATTGAGTATTAACGAATATTGTAGGTGAGGAAGTCTGTGGAGGTGTAACCTGTTGGCTAACTGTTAGTTCAATTGCAAAAAAAAAAAACACGTAATTGGAACAAAAGTAAATAAATAAAAAAATCGAAGTTAAAGTGAGAAACCAAAAGCACTCGTAATTAAAAGTGACGAAAAATCGATTTTGCTCATTTCTTTCTTCACATAGCGATGGCTACATCACTGCAGTCAGTTGACACGCGTTGAACTAGTTGTGCTTACGGCGGATTTAGCTCAAAAATAATCAAATCGAATAATAAGTTACAAATACAGTTTGAGAAATATTAACTAAAACAGTGAACAAATATAAAAAAATAAAACAAAAAAACTTTTTAAAATCGCCGCGTTACTCAGACGTCTCCACCTCTTGCCGCACGCATGACTCATCCGTTTCGTAACTGATCCCTATTGGACATTGCCAGTAGCTTATAGCTGCTGAGGCTACCAGAGAACCACGAAACTACACACATAAATAAAACGTGTCGTCGTGTTTTGGAAAATGAAAAGTCATAACAAGTATGCAAAATTACCCCAAGATTTAGATTTAAGTTTCCAGGAGCAATTGGATGTGGATGCGGGAGCATCGGATGAATTTAATTTGGCAGCTGGCATTGGATTGGTAGACGATACCGACGACGACGAACGCGTCACAACAGCTAGAGCTGGCGATACAAACGTAGCCAAAACAGTGGAGGGGCACGTTTTCGACGACGAAGAAGACGAAATTGTTATAGCAACAGCTTTGAGCGGTGCGGGCGGCGGTGGTACTGCAGGTACACGTGCAAATGTTAGTGGCGGCAGTGCAGTAGGCTTACGTGCGCACACGTCAGCTAGTAGTGGCGAAAAGAAGGCTCGTGGTGGTGGTGGTGGTGGTGGTGGTGTTGCAGTTGGTTTGGGCAGCGACAGTGTAATCGAGGTAAGTACTCCTGCATGTTGCAATGAAACTTTAATTGATTACTTTTCTTTTATCAATTATTAATCGCACTATTATTTGTATATATGTACATGCATACAAGAGAAATTGAAAAAAAAACGAATGTATAAGATCAAATTATGCTATACTAAAAATTTTCAGCCGAAAAGAATAAAAGCAATAAAAAGAAAAAAATGCCCTAATAACGTTTCCACGGTCAACTAATACCAAAACGCATTGATATAGTTGACATTGACATGGATTTTAGCACTTAACTGACACACGAATGGTTTGTGTCACCCTTTAAATAATTCATGCTTCAAAGGTAATAATAAAATCAATCGACTGCCTCGAATTTCGACAAGGACATACAATACGCAGCTTTGTGAAAAGTGTAACATGTCTATTTTGTAGACGAAATATATTTACATAAGCGTTTATACATACATATATCAGTACGGAATATTCCAAAACCAGCTCCCACATCTTTTGAGTCTTAAACTTGAAACTGAAAATAAGAAAAAACTATTTAATTTCCATTACATCTAATCTATGCTGTCTAATAGTTTTATAAGTTCTGATATACCCATTCACACAACATAAACACTCCACAAGCGATAGAAATTTATAAACCCATACAAGCTTAAAGTTTTCAAGTCTTCCTTTAGCCTTTAAGGCTTTTACTACAATTTGCTGTGTGACACTGCATACTGTTTGTCTAACTTTGCTCACATTTAAAATAGTCTAAGTATGTACTTGTATGCATATGAAAAGTGAAAACTTTTTCCATATCCCTTGCCAAGTTCATTCATGTGGCATTTTCTGTTGAACTTTTTTCTTGCCAAAATATTTTGCCAGAAATATTTACACATTTCCCGTCTCAAACTTATCATTCCTAACTTTGCTTACGTCTCCCTGTGCCAGCACTTTTGCTATTATGCTCGTACACACACACACGCACACACCTATTCTCTTTATATTTGTTTTTTTTTTATATTTTTATTTCTCATAAGGAAATTCCATTGTTGTCAAAAATTCCTTTATATTACATATTTTTGTGGTAGCAAAATGAGCTACTGAGTATTTTCAAATAAATTTTGTTGGTAAATTTGCATGAGTGTGAAACCGATTCATTACAATCAAAAATCTTGAAAACTTTTATCCTGTACTCAGTGGGAGTAAAATGGTAAATTATGTTTGATGTAGAGTAAGTGAATTTTCCTTTGAAAGCTTAGCTTGGTAGCGGGTTGGTTATTAAGATGGCTGTGGGTTGATATTTTTGTGGCGCTTTGATTTAGGGAAACGTTGTGTCTGTTTTGTTAAAATGTTTGTCAGACAACTGTGTTCTTGAGAATATTTGCAACGCCACGTTTTAGTAACTGATGCTCAGTCGAATGAAGCCAATAGGTTAAGTTATTTCTAATCCAATTTCCAGCATTGGTCATATCTTTCAGAGATAATACCTAAGTAGGTCTTCGTTTTAAATTCTAAAAGAAATATCTCTAGCAGCTCTTTCATTGATTTGGCTGAGTTTAATCCTTCTAACGGACATCTCTTCTACACGAGCACCTTTCTGGAGTGAACATTTTTCCTTGCAACAAACTTTAAGAAAATTTTTAGAAAAAATGACTCGCCCTTTGGCGGACACGGACAATTATATGCCATAACACTGATCAAAAAATCATCTCTCTTTTCAACGTACAAAGAGCATATTTTTTCATAACAAATCCAACCAACATAACTCTTGAGCGGACTAAATTCGCTTGACGGCCAGTGCTCGGCTAAAGAAGGTTTCACTGTATTATTTTTAATTATCTTGGGTCTCCTAAGCCAACCGGAGCTAGACAGAGAAATGTAATGGCAATAGAGTGCACAATATATCAAATATCGTCGTGCAGATCTTCTATTTTATCTTCCAATGCTCATCCTACCGAAATCATTTCTTTGCTCCATACTCTTTAGAAAATTATAACTGCGATTATAAATAATAATACAAATCTTTCTGAATGAATTTGGTAAACTCTTGTTTAAATTTTCACTGATTTTATTCGCAAAACTTTTATTTGAATATTTATTTACACAAAAAACAGAGAAGCCCTTTTTATACGCAGCCCAGAATCTCTCCACAGTCATATGTTTAATATTTCTGTGTGTAAGACTTCTCTGAAATTAATTTCAGTTCATTTGTTGACTTTTGAAACTACCAACTTTAAGTTATGCATTCGAAAAGTACCGCTACGCCTTCACCAACGTTAATTGACAGAACTGCAACACACAAGCACACATTTGCACACACGCATACACTCATCCGGTCCCAATGTCAGCCATACTATGCGCAACTTCCGCTCTGGTTGACTGTCATAAATCAAATGCAGACGAACTTATGTTCAAACTGTATGCACCATATGTACAGTTGGGTGTAATTTAAAAAAGGACAAACATACATACTCGTGTACAAATGTGCGCTGCGCTTAAATTAGGCGGAAGTTGTTAAATGTAATCATTTAATTTTATGGTTTGTTTAATTATGTTGGCGATGATGTGTGAAGGTTGACGTAAGGCCGCGCCTGCCAGCATCCTTGCAAACTCTTCTTTTTCATGCAACAGTGTGTGCTGCGCATATATGTACATATGTATGTATTTTTGTATTAGCCTGTTTGTTTTTAATTCAAATAAAAAGTTTGTTGAAAAGTTGGCTGTATGTTTATCCACATTCAAACACACAACCAGACACACTCTGCTCATGTAATTGGCTAAGCGCCAGCATTAAAACCACAAGCGTTTCAGTTAATGGGTGTTGCCACATCAGCAGTGGCATTATAATGTTTCTGCGTCAGTGTGAGTGAGAATATTTGTTTTGCATTGGAGTTTTTAATTTATGCTTATTGTTATTGTGATATTTATTTTATTTTCATTAACCGATTTTTCTTGTTTCAAATTAATTGTTTTCATTCGTGTTCATTCGTTGAGGCGTGTTGCGGTGAAAATTTGCAAATTCATTTTTCATTATGCTGATTATGGCTGAGAGATAAGGGAAGATATGTCAAATTTTTATGTTTGGCCCTTCCCTTTTATAGCGCTTATGTTTGCGGTTTTTGATGCGCGCACATTTCGTCCCATCAGTTCCGAGTTGAGTGAAGGATTTTGTTGGCTAAAGTCAGATGAAGTTCTAGGGTACAATTGAAATAAATAAATACTTCAATTTCTAGTTTTAAAAAGATTTACAAATTCTTTTTCGAAACTCAATCATACTGCTTAGACGAGCTCAGAGCGCTGTGAATCGAGAGTTTTAAAGTAATAAATGTCTAGTTTGGGAGATATTTTTTATTCATTCGCGTGTTCTCTAATTCCCATCACATTCATGAAATAAGCTTAAAGTAAATACTGCCAGGAAAGCACTGAACACTGTTCAATATAACACCGCATATGTATTATTCATTCAAATTTAGTTTATTGCCTTCAAAGTAGTCATTTTATGAAATATTACTGAACACTTATGCCAACGAGTAACCGGGAAATTCTTCGGTTCTGTTTTACGTCTTCTATCGACTTAGAACGGTTGCCTTGAGAAGTGCTAAATTGAGTTCTAAAAGCGAAACAACTAGACCCTTTATGGGGCGAATACGGTACTTTTCACTGGTGTTTGTTGAGTTTGTGGCCCGAAGTTTGATCATATTGACAGGCTTTAGAGAAGGTTATTATTCCGCCTCTGGAGAGGTCAGGGCGAGGTGCTTTCCAATCCTTTACAAATTATTTCGTAGTTATTTAAAAGCAACGTGACTGTACTCCCCCCTTGGAAGGTATTTGTGAGGTACTACTCCCCTACTTTTACGGCCCGTATCTAGACGGATGTGTGCGATAATTCAAAACGAACTTAATTGTGTTCGTTATTTTAGTAAAGAACTCAGCATGAGACGAGCTAACTAAAATGACAATCCGGAGTTCGTCATAAGGTTCAGTGGCTGTCCCTCTCAAGCTTAAGGCACAAATTTTAGCAACCATTTCCCTTTCTTCAGTTGAAGACGTTGATGGCCGAATAAACACGGGACAGTTTTCCACTACTATTTACGTATAGACGTCTTTCACGCTTTTGAACGAACTATATCTTTCATAAGTACTTGTCTTTGATACAGTTTATTCGCCATAAGCCAGACGTAATATTTTCAGCTTTCAGATTTTTTTTAAATATTTTTTTCATTGTAAAAATCGAAACACATATTTCAAAAGTACTGATAGCATTGAAATATGCAAAGAAAAAAAAAAAATAAAGAACACTTTGCGGTGAAACTTAGCATCATTTTAGGGAAGAATGAATTTTGTGAAACCCTTTACATGCTCAGTTTTTGATACTTTTTTTTACAGAATTTACCGTATATATTCTGTTACGTACCACCTACTATTTTTAGCCTGTTACGCAACTAATCTTGCCCTTTTGGATGAATCTGCTCTCTCCACTGACGCATAATTGACATACTTAATTGAAAATTATGGCACACCGAGGCGTATGAGTAATTAAAATTAAATGATTTTTTCTCAGGCCTTTTTGCACTTGCAGATCAATTGGGTTAATTTTCAATATTTTACAGTGTTTTTTTTTGACGGAATAAATAATAATAAAAAAATAACATTGGACGGTTGCAAATTTCTATAAAAGTTTTTTTTTAATTTTTTAATTTCTCTCATGACTCTTCACAATTTTAAATATACTCCGGAGACTTGATGCATTGAGGTTGTGAGTGGAAAATGCCGTTAGTGGTCGTACATCAACGCCATCGTCGTCATCATCGTCAGTAGCTGTAAAATTAACTGAGCAAGCAGCATCAACAACACTTATATGTATGTATTTTTCGTTAATGTGCAGTGCGTTATTTGATTTTCCACTCCCTTTTCGCGTTAAAAATCTTTTCTTTGCTTTTGTTGCGTACTACGGTCTGTCCGCAACATCAGCACATTGTGAGTGACAAGAGTATCCACACCGTACAATCAACAGGAAGCCGCAGAAAACATACAAACCTCAGCGCTACCACGAAATAACAATGAACCCGCTTGAAACCAAACCGAACCGAGTGCCAAACCAAGCTAGCGGTCTGCATGCGAAACAGCACAACTTGTAGTTAAGTTAACAGAATGCGCTGCGTCTCTAGGCTTATAAGTATATTTATTTGCCATGGCAAAAGTTTCTTCAGCTTTACTTATTTTTTGCGCTTCCGCGTATAATTTTGAAAACAGTTAGTTAAAACATAAAATTTGCTGTCAAAAACCGCCGAATGGCAACAACGGCTGCAAGCAAAAGTTAAGTAGCCATCGCTATATTAAATTAGGCCCCTGACCTGCGGGGTAACGAAATTTTTTTTACCGTTTTGCTGTTGCCCCTGCTCTCGGTATGCAGTTTTATTTACACGTAAGAAATGTATTAATTGAATCTGCTTTTTTTGATGGCATTTATGACTTGATGACAGATATTTGTCTCTTCTGAGTTTGCCACACCAAGGCCATTATTATGGTTTCGAGGCGTTTTGGATTGGAATAGCTGTATTTTGTAGGTACTAATTGCGTATGCAGAGCACCGTAATTGTATTCCATACATACAAAATTTTACTTTATGTCAGAATTGTACAGAAGGACTTTAGGATACCAAGCATGAACCTGAACTTTAACCCAATAACCAATAGGGAGGGCGATTTACGTTTCATGTGCGGTATTTTAGCGGGTAGGTAGGTCAGCCGCCTGTCTATGTGGATAGGTATTTAACTTCCCTTGCTTGAGGGATCATTACGTTGTTTAGTTTTAGTGTTGAAAATGTTTCTGTCTCTAGTGTGAATGTGACATGTTTGCACTTTTGCCCATTATGGGCCAGTTCGAAGGAAAATCCTTCCCCGGCCTTCGGAATGGCAGTACGCCTCGGGGTACTTGGTGCGAAATAAAATAGTGGTATCCTCCGTGAATGTTTAGGTTAAGACTTTTGATCTCGATGGAACGTTTTCAGTAAACAAGGCATACAGTGTTGGTGTTAAAACGCTGCATTGAAGAATACCAGCCATAATTGGATATATCTCTAAGATAAATTCCGTTTCCTTAATTGTAAACAGCCTGCTAGTAAGGTATGATTTGAATAACTAATGGAAAATTTTCTGGCACCTATGGCTTTTTCGAAAGCAAAATTGATGATTTCGTAGAATGTCGTATACGAAAGAAAAGTTAATATTTTTGAAAACTTTTTCCAAATGTTTGGAACGAACAGGC